ACATCATATTATTTCACGTATGGTTTGTACTAGCAAAGTAAATCACAGAGAAATTTGCTCCATCGTTTCCTCGCCAAACTTATGCTTTACATTACAAAATATCCTCTATGGGACAATCACCTAGGAATTATTTTTACGAAGTTATGATGAAGCGAATGAACAGCAGCACAATTCCAGTGTCAGGCAGCATCACAACCAACTTGTTTGAAAACAGCTAGTAAATCAGACACCTAACAAATCACACAGCGGCGATATCATTTTGTAAGGATTCCAGACAACCACATTCTGTGTGGAATCTGCTTACTGAGTAAACCACGTTCAAGCATGCTTGCCTTCGCATGCTTCGATGTAAGCGTTTGTTTACTGAAGGGGTTGCCAAGGGCTCTACATGCGGGTACTGAGAGAAAACCACCCACGCCGGTGCAGTTTTTCATTGTTCTCTTACATCTTATCATCCATGTAAGCGACATGGTAGTACCATATGTACTGAACAGATAATAATTGAAGCTGCTGAGACAGAGAGAACAGATTTATTTATAAAAACATCATGTCACATATTATCAACGGAATCATAATTTTCTTATGTTTAACGGAAAGGTAGAGCTCTGATTAGCACACTCGGCCAACCACGAAAAGCAAGGATTGAGACTAAAACAGTCTACTTACGTCGACTTCTGTAGTTTCTATTTCTACTATCATAGTAGAAAATTTCTGCTATCATAGAGGATAAATGACTGTCCAGTGCAAAAGGCAACATTTTACTTGTACCTAAGTCGTTCGATTGGTATTAAAACGTTCTTGAAATATTCCCCTAACAATAATAAAAGCAAAGCACCCTCGAAAACTCTCCCACCGATTGGCACATCTCAACCATCGATCCTTACCCGGCCAAGTTGTTTTTTAATACTATAACTTAACAAAAGAACTCCATACGCAAAAGTAGAGGAATCGAAAACCTGCAAAGTGTCGTGGTGACTTTCCTTGAAAGACGTTTCCAATCCGGGCCTTGATTTCCAAGTATTGGACAAATATCATATTTCTCTTAATAATTCGAAAGACCGGCTTTCTATAAACCTCGGCATGAATATTTGATATATTTATTTGTGTGAGCTTATAAAGCTCTTGTTGAGTCGATGCGAGGTTGGCACAAGTTTTCATTGTCGTTGTTTTTGTTTTGCTGTTGTCGTTGCGCTGGTGATGTTGGTCGATGGCAGACATATCGGCGATTTCGCCTTCCTCAGAGCTGTGCCGTTACGAGAGGGACTCATGTTTCTGCTGTTCAGTTAAGTTTACAAATAAAACGAAGTACAGGTGAGACTACTACGGAAGCTAAGCAGTTGATGGCAATGGGGACGTGAAGTGCCATAAAGCAGACTCAGAGCTATTTAATAAAGAAAATTGCCTATTTCAGACATGGCAAGGAAACAGTCGCCATCTATGCAGGGTTTTGAAAGATCCTACTTCTATGACTACTTTCCCCAATTCTATGCAGTTTTATGCCTTTTCACCTTCAAACGACTACGCTTTGATTTACGTTTAATAACGCACATTCCTCTGCATTATCTAATAAAAATTTTCACAATAGACCTGTGCTTAAGGAAGGGATGGCGTATTCTTTTCATGTGGAATTCGTGTCTAGTAGCTACAGAGGATTTTAAGAAAAATTTTAACACGAGATACTTCTCAAACCGATCGTCATTTAAGCTCGGCATCAGCAACCAATGCCTTCTTGGATTATTAAGATAACACGAGGTTGATAAAGAGGATTTATTTGGCTAACGTATCGATGTCTTCGTCTTCCTCATAGCCGGTTTGATCCGAGTCGATGATCCACACTTGATCGTCCATGTGAGGGCTCGCTATTGCACAGAATTGAATCCAGTGAAGTGGAGCACCACTCAAATGAGGTTTCCATACTCGATGGTGTCCTCTTAAACAGTATGGGTCTATCGCCTATCCACCTACTACGCTTTGTGGCAGTTAATAAAACACCGACTGTTACAGGATGCGTTGCCGCCTGGAACGAAGATCACATTGAACGGCTCAATAGGTCGACATCCATCCAGTATATAAGCGCACCCACCGAGATTGGAAACTTCATTCGAGGGGTGTCCGCTCCACTGGATTCCACTCGATGCGACGACGAACAAGCACATCGTGAGAACGATCACCTGTGGATCATCGACGCGGATCAATCTGGTTCTGAAGAAGAAGAAGGCGTCAGAACGCTAGCCAGATAAATCTTTTCTTTACTAACCTTGTGCCAGCTTAATAATACAAGAATATATCAAAAAAGAGAATTTCACGCCGAACCGCTCCCCAATTTCGGTATTACGTTCCATCAAATGTAGTGTTAAAACATCAGTGTGAACTTGGCATAGGTCCTCGTTGTCGTTGTTATTGTCGTTGCTGTTTGGTGTTGTTGGTCGACGGCCGACGTTTTGGTGATTTCGCCTTCCTAAGACCAGTGATGCTACGAATGGGACTCGAGTCCTGCACCAACCTCGCATCAACTTATGAAGATCAGTTTGTAAGATCATTTTTAAAAAATATATCAACTATCGATGCTGAGGTTTGTAGAAAGTCGGTCTTTTGAGTTATTAGTGTGAATGTTTACAAAACAGTGTAATCCTGTTTGATATCGCATAGAGAAGTCCATTTTCAAACGCTCCAGGAAGAAAACGATGTGTTCCCTGAATGTTACTAGCACTTAAAAAATGCTGATGATTCAGTTTCTTCGATATTCACTAGGGTTGAAAACTGTAAAGGTCATTCCTCGAATCTCTTCAGCTCATACTTAGTGGTTTTCCTGTTTAAATAAGGCGTAGGGAGCAGGAAATAAGGTCTTCGGACCAATCAGTCACTGGGGAATGCGCTGTGAATTTGACTTCATCAAGGACTATGGAGGTGAGCGAATGAACGTCTGGCCTAAAAAATGAGTTTCTGGTGTGTACAGAATTGTATTACGTCCGTATTTCTTCGCAGTCTGGTACCCCTGATGGATGGTAGGCAGGGTTTTCACGTAGCAGCTGTTCGAACCAAAAACCACGTATATATCGCAGGGCCACTTAAATCGCTGTCATTGCGCCACACGCCCTGCGGTTCCCCATTGTTGGACTTTCCTAGAAAATAATTAGCTTCAGCTTTTTGTTAAAATACGACATCGTATTCTTTATACAAAGATTTTCATTCAGCCATTGCAGTCTTAATCGGTTTAACTTCATGTCCACTAAAGAACTTTGCCTGGTCATCTAAACCAACTTCGTTTCGAATTTGTCCACACCAACTCGTTGTTAAGCTAACCTGCTTATTCTTATGCTTTTCCATTTTTTATGATGAAAGAAATAAAAACCAGCTATGAAACATGTTCGTAGTGCAGGTCTTAAAATAAAACAAATCTCAAAACTGGCTTTAAGTCGCTTTCAAAATGTTTCCTCACTGTGGCAGCACCCTAAAGAATGTCATTTGATTCCCATATATGTAGGTATTGCTAGAAACGATCTTTTACCGAAGATCACCGTTTATCAATACTGTTTTTATTACTGTGCAATCTCACTCTTGTTCTTTGCCCGAAAATCACCGTTTATCAATACTGTTTTTATTACTGTGCAGTCTCACTCTTCTCTGCTTCTCTCTAATGCTTCCTACAGAAGGATTCTAGGGTCAGCTAGACATCGTTGAACTGTTGCTCTCTAAACAATTGTATATGGTTCTATTCTACGAATCGATGTATCCCTGACTATCTCGGTCGTTGACCCAATTACCTCCTCCCTTTCTATCGTTTTTCTATTGTTTCCTCATGAAACTTCCCGTGAAACTGTGCAACGAATTCTCACAGATTCATTTCGTTGGTTGGGGTTCGTATTTTTATTCAATGCAAAATTGTTTTCTCTTAAAATATCGGGACTGAGCCAACTGACTAGCCGACTTATCGGTGTTTATGATCGAAGCATCGTCGAGAAAAGTGTCCCCGAATTTCATCCATGTCCAATTTTCAGTTTCACGTCTTTATTTTCCCCCACTTTCGGTGTGCGATTTTTTCCACGTCTCAGGCTTAGGGAAATAAATTTGCAAAAAAGAAATTGAGTAGACGTTTTGAGCGAATGAGCTAGCAGCTAAGCAACGCTTGTCGAGTTTACGATCCAAATAGCGTTTCCAACGTTCGGTGACCAAATTCTGCTTGTAAGGTGATTTCAAGAATGCGAACGAATCGGAGCGACGTTTCGCGCGGATATTCGCCGAAAAACGAAGGGTCATTCGCATAATGCCTTTTTCTGGGTTAGTGTTCATCCCGAAATTCTTCTGCTTTTCACACAGATTTTCTCTCCAATAAACTAACAATCATGATGGATACCTTATCCACTAAAACGACAGAGGCTGGAAGTGCAGATGAAGTGAACCGCGAAGACATATCGTTTTCCATTCTCATTTCCTTCCATTTTTCATTCTCATTCCAAGCCTTCTTCCACTATCTGCATACGCTGTAACCGTGATAGATATTCGTGGATCAGCTTACATTTTGCCATAGGTCGTCACTGATGACGAAATCTGCTGAAAGAACAACACGCTGATCGCGTTTTCCCACAATAAGCGGGCGAACTTGCTCCGAAAGACGCTTCGGAATCAAGTTCCTACGTCCCTCCCTAACCACTCCGTGGATAGCCCCGCTTCTGGCCAACCTGATCGCCAATCCTGATCGGACTACGCTCACGCGAACTATCTAATGTTCTACATCCTGGTAGTCTCAAAACATATCACTCTAATAAATTTTCATTTCGTTTGCTGATCTGCTTAGATTTACAAAAGAAAACTGTGGACTTGTTATGATAATCAGCTTAACACTCTTCGTTCAATTTTTATGTGATAGTATCGTCTATAGCTTGTTACTTTCTAATGATCAGTATCACTTATGGTACGAAGTTCGATCAACAGTATGTGAAAATCGCGATTACGATAGATTAATTAGTTTTTCCAAACAAAACTTCTAAATGGCGTTAAGGATGTTTGCGCTCCTCGTCATGGGACTCTACCCATTGACATTGGGTCAGTCACCACTCACCAAAGCGTGGAATGAGGCATTACCCGGTATTCAACCGTTTTGGGAAAAATACCAGACCGGACCGCACGGAGTGGTGATCCGAGGATGGCAATTCAGTAGATGCGCCAGCGAACAGGTGTGTTGGCCTCCTGGTTATATTGGAACTAATGAAAAAGTTTTTTTGTTGTTTTCTTTCCTATCACTGCGTGCAATTTATATTTTCTGCGGCTGAAGTGACAATTACAGTAACAAAGTTGGTTGAGTTTATCCACTGGGACGAACCAATCGATTGAGATTCCCGTCTCTACGCTGTCACCTCTTCTTTCACTTGGAAAAATTAAGTTCTTGTTTTAGTGGACAAACTACGTAGTGAACGTATCGAATATCGTCATCTGGCCTGACTATCCTAGATTCCCGGGTCCCATTTTTTTCAACGTTACGATGGACGTCGCAGAAGAATTGCCCAGCGATAAGATCGAGATGGACCTTGAGGTTCGTCGTCTAGCAGCTTTTCTGGCCGAAGTTCTTCCTGAATCTAACTTTCATCATTTGAACAGAATCTGCAGCCCGTTCTGATTCTTCAAAATTTATAGGTTCGTCATGCAGTGACGAATAAGCAAGGTTCAAAAGGATGGCAAGTGATACCATGTCAGGGATGGAATATCATTGATGGTTGTGATGGTGTTGGATCATGGTGAGTATTTTTGCCATCTGGCCCGATATTCTCAGCACCAGTATTGCTCGTAGTTAAGTAAATTTTGGAAAGAATCAGTTGATACTTTTGGAATTCTAGAAACTGGTACATTAGAAAAAGGGCAAGGAGCTCGTGAAGAGCATTTTCTCAGTAAAAAAAAAGTGTGTATTTTATTCTGGATCATTCCAGACCACACTAGCATTATTGTTAAAGCTGACCAGCTTCATTTGTATAGAGCATTTTTGAAATTACTTCAATGTAGGCAATATGGACAAAAGATTTCCTAGAATTATGATAGAAAAACTTGTGCCGCACAAGGTAGCAGAATCTGAAGTGATAGTGATTTTATTTCCAAGAACCATAAGTAACGAAATCCTAGACGATTTCAGTCGTTACTGCGACATGTTGGAAAAGTGTAACGAAGCAGTGAAAGGAGCGCACAAGTTCATCAAGGACGCCAAAGCTCACCAATTCCTGCGGGAGAACAAGGTTTGTTGGTACTTTCTCGATATTCTTAACTCTATAGCGATTTCTTTCGTGTGTTTCTCCTAACAATGATTTCAGTTATGTCCACCTCCGAAGGGACACTGGACGATGACGTTCTCGAAGGTGTTCTCTTCGGAAGATCTCCCCAAGTCATTTTTCGGACCTCTGCAATCTGTGAGTATGGTGGCGAACGTAAATGATCGATGTTAACCACAATAAAATAAAATATGGGTGCTACAAGTTAGGAAAAAAGACTGGATCTTCAATCTATCCCTCGTACTGGAGAGACATACATTGTGTTGTACTTGGCCATCATGTTGCGCAGTGGTTAGGGCTGCCATCATCAAACCTGAAATCTCTTCGAAGTAGACAAATCGGTACCATACTTGTCTTGGAGAGTAAAAGCATTAACTTATTGGATCTATTAGCCACGAAAAGTTGTTGTAAATCAATAGTACGCATTCAGTCAACTCTGCCACGCTTAAGTCGAGTTAACGATGTATCCCTGATAAATTGAGCAACGGCTAGCGTTTTATCCCTTATGCTTTAAGACACATCATTTCTTGGTTTTGATGTGGAAGAACTCGTGCCGTTCGAGGCATGTCTAGCTCTGAGGTTAGACGTACCCTAAAATATATAGTTGATTGTTGGTTGCATCCAACATTAGCACGTTCATCTTCAAACACGATCTTATGTGTACACTGCAACTTCTCGGTGAAGTTTGGATTGAATGCAAATTTAGTTCATCTCTTGGACAATTTGAATTCCGATATAGCACGATTAGACCAAAGTAAATTACTTTTCAGAACGAGTACTGGCTAACGTTCTCGTTTACCGACGGAAAGGACCGAAAACTCGGCTGTGCTCGGTATCTATTTATCCCTTTGATATCTTGAATAGTTCGAACTCAAACTCATTTCCACCATTTTATTTTTGAAACCTCCATGTTTAACCCCTTCTACGTTCATCGTTATTTCTTTGAAATACTGCACTTCTCAACTGTGTGTGTGACAAAAAGCAAATCCTGGTGTTGGACCATCCTACAGTCGTTGCTGAATGACTGACTCCACTACCTTATCCCCTTTTCGGTGCCCAGTGGAAAGCATTTTTGTTACAGGTTATGGGTAGACGTGTGCAAATATCATCTACAGGACAAAGCGCAGAAGTGTCTGCGGGATCCGAATGCGTTCAAGAACTTCATCAACGAGATTTCGTCGCAGGCTGAACAGATTAGAAATCGGGGATAGAGGAGTTCGGTAATCTGTCCGAGCTTCTGTTACTTTACTAGTTCATTTGCTTTGTGTTAAACCACTGTGTTCAGTGGATGGTGCAGTGTTTTTACGACTCTTTAGTGTTTTTCTGACCCTACGCTTCACTTTGACCCCAGTCAGCGTCTTTCACTTCGATTCGCCTAAATTAGTGTGCTCATGTTATTTATTCGTTAATAAAAATATCTTTAATAATGTCAAAATATTTCCTTAAAATCAATGAGCAAAAGGGTTCAAACACAGACTCGAATAATTTGAACATAGATCTGAAAGAATAACACTTCCAGATACACCTCTAAACACTGGATAGTTATACAAGCCCGTGGAACTTTGTGACCTCGTGTAACCAGTGTACTGTACGTATTTTTTTCTATCTTTTCGGCTTATTCGTAGGTTATTGCTTGGGGTCTTCACGAGTTACGCCCATTAGTTAACCTGTTCTCGTCAAGTCATGTTGGACTCACAGTGCATGTGGCATGATATGGTTCTACGTTATTTGTTTAAAACGGGTAAAACAGCATTGGAGTGGTGGAGTTGTAGATGAGTCTCCATCACTGATAATCGAAACCTTTTCAGCAGCTTTGCTTTTAAAGCTTCGTTTTACTTGAGTATAAAGAAGTATCAACGATGATAGTTATCCCACGATTTTCCGTCCTAAATTTTCAACCTGTAACACCTTAATTTTAGAAAACAACGAAAATTGCGGAGAGAGCGGTTAAGAGTTTATAAGAGGGTACAGCTACCAAGTGACGTAAAGCATTTAACACTACGGTGTTCCCCTCAAATGCTTTTTTGACAAGAAAGAAAAATTTTCTAAAAAATTGAAAGCGAAAGCGGTTATCTCACATCTTTTGAGGACCCATGCATTTACTGTATTTGTTCTTTCTTTTTCTTTTGTTTTTCACTTTTACACGACCCATCTTCAGGGCTATTGTGCAGATCCCAGCACTTCTCATATTGAATTCTTTTCCTCGCATCCATCATCCACTGAGGTCTTCCAACCATCTAAAATTATGTTTAGCTTCGGCTGCTGCTTGAGCATTTTCATTTCATCTTGAATGTCGCAGAATGCTGGTCCAGTCGATTCTCCCTGGAATCCTTAGGTCGTCGAGCTGGAGCGTTCCCAATCGGATGGCAGAGAGTGATTTTTCCAGGACAACTTCGTTACGAATTTCCCAACCCAGCAGGGTGAAAGGTTTTGTGAACCTAGAATAGCATCAAACCAGCACCGTGCTCGTGATGATCGGCAACACTAGCGCTGTGTTGTCCGTCCCTTTGAATTTGTTTTGGCCTTCAAAACCGTCGTCTGTAGAGTTCGACTGTTGTGTGCCTGGGTGCGGTATCGATTTCAGGATCTGTAGCTTTCTTTCCTCACTGGTGTGCTGAAAACTGGTTAAGTGCTGCTCGCAGTGGAATTCTAAGACAGTCATGCTAGGATGTTTCCAGGTTTTCATCACAGGCAGTCGCAAACCCAATTTACTGCCAAACGTTTAAGATTTATACAGCATGGCAGCGATCACAAAAACTGGTTCACCTAGCATTCGAGCGACGTAACAAGTTGGACCCCAAACCGCCTTCTCTACATGGAAAATGTGACAAGACAAACCGAAAGGATCATTTAAAACGTTAATTTTAGAACTACAAAGTTACCTGTGTTGTGAAAAACAGTTCCTGGAGGTAGAATTCTCTTCTATGAGATAATAACATGAATTTAGTGTAACGAACATTTACTGAAGTGCGAAAAGATCGGCTTCATGCTTTTCCACAATTGTTGGCGTTTTCGATTACTCTGTGCTCAAAAGCTGGTTCCATAACATGCTTTTTTTGAGCAAAAGCAGGTCCTTCTCATAAAAAACTCGCAAACTACGTATCTGTGCCGAATTTACGTCATATCTCTCTGTGCAGACGAACATGGGAACAGCTTAAACCCAAACAAGTCCATTTCAGCGCAAGTTGTCAAATTGTATCTTGACTTTCAGTTATCGTAAAGTTTTAAAGGACTTCAGACCTCTGCATATCATCGCATGGTATAACAATAACCTTTGTAACGATTCAATCTGTGACGAATCATTTATCGTTCCGAAGCGCAGCACTTGATCACCATTGAATTGACTAACTTTATCAGCATCAACCGAAGTCCTCTCTGCTGAAGCTTCTTGAGAAGGCCGGTTTCCCGTGCATTTTGCTTGCTACTATTTAAATCAATCAAATTATCCTAAGTAAAAAGCTCCATCGCAAATTTTGAACTCAACAAACCAGACTGATGCACAATTAATTTTAAAAAAAGTTAAAACCATCTTGAAATCTATAAAAGCACTACTTTATTTTAGGAAAGGAGCTTCGTTCTTGTGGAAACAAATGGATATGCAGTCACAGGTGAAAAGAAAACACGACAGAATAGATGAAAAAGAAGGTAAAGCGTTCGGTGTTGATCAGTCGCTGAGAGATGTTCCATGCATTCGACTTCAACGAACACTGTTAGAGGAAATTGAATGTCCTACACAATGACTTAGGGTAACTTACCGATGGATGGATTAACTAAGTGCTGCTGTCCTCTTTGCCACGTCTGGTAAGATTTCCGATTCCGTAGAGTAGAAATGTTTATGAGCTCTGTACGCTTGATCAAAGCAGTGACCGATCCAATGTTTATTGCAGGGCGTCTCTAACCAATGCAATACACGCTCCCTCCTATTATAAATGGTTGTAAGCAATCATCACTCCATAGTTTTTCAGCTCGGATAAAATTCTATCTCGATAAGTCGACAATGAGGTATCGCGCGAGTACATTAAGAACACCGAGCTGTGGTCAGCGAGTTCCCTATCCTGTTGTGAAGAAGTTTCGCCAGTAATTGATGATTCGAGAAGCTATTAAGGATTTTAGGCACACTAATACGTATGAATTTCAATTCATGTCTGGATCTATCAGGATAAAGGGAATTTGTATGTGCCTACTTTCAGGGTGACTGGCTCCATTTTTAGAGTGATTCAGAATGTAATGGAGAGGAGGGACTCCGCACAAGTGAGCACTTCGCTAAGTCGATGCGGCAATTTCTCCAACTGTATGTCTTCTCCAAGGAGTGTAAATGTTCAAAAATTATCGAATTCGAAAATCTATTACAGAACTAACTTTTATGCCTTTTACTTTTCTACACCAGTTCAAAGTGGCCTGTAGCAGTAGAGGTGCTATGTATCACACACGTGGTGTTTGGTTCCATTCCGCCAACAAATCAAGCTCTTCATTCTTCCAGCGTCGGCAAGTTGAACCAGATTTGTCCAGAAAAATAAAAGAACTGACTTCATAACTTTCTTGATTGGTCTGCTTACACGAGGTTGTTACAAAACTTCACTATCACCACCTCCGCCTTCCTCGAAGGTGTCAGGATTTGAGTCAAATGCCCATAGCACTTATTCTTGTGATGTGGAGCAACTCATCGTCACATTGAGTTGAATCCGGTGGTGTGGAAGCCAAGGGTGGGTGCTCAGTGAAGGCAAAGACGATGAGACGTTACCCACAATTGACGATTTTTTTGTAACCTCATGCAAGCTTATGAATCCAGCAAAATACTGACTTCATAGCGAATAGCATTCATAGCGAGGCTGTGACAGTAGACCACCAAAGGCGTAACCGACTAGACGGCATATGCACCCAATCGCCTCTACTATGCTACAAATGGAGCTTAATGCGTAATATATCTCCAAGAGATTGATCAAAACTCCTTATCCTTTATCCTCTACGCCTTTTTGCATTAAATCCGATAACAGTATACATTACTCGGTATTGTCTACACATGCTATAGTAAAGACGGTGTCCGCTCTTAGACATTCGTGAAGCAACTTCTTACAAATGTTTAACTGTGACGTTCATTAATTTATACAAAAATTAAAATACATATGATAACAAACAAGAATTTGATGTAGAGGTAAGGAATAACAACATAACATTTACATACATGGCGACGATGATGATGATGCGAGAACAACGCAAAATCGGATTAATTGAGCAAGTACACAGTGGCCCGATAAGATCTAATCATGAAAAACTATTTATAAACAATGAGAAGAAAATACAGAACCCATACGATAACTGACATCACAGTTCGTTGGCTAAGTTACGCTTCATATGTCATTTTCCGGTACGGCAGTTTGGTGATGATCACCAGAGCTTCTTGTGATATCGTAAAACGTAATCGGAATGAATAGAATCAGGTGATACTGACGTTCATAAGATACACTATGAATGAAAGTGAGGAGAACAACAGCATGATAGTAAACGACCTCTCGGCCACAAAAATATGTGTGTCCTCTCGTAGAAGTGCGGACGCTATGTTGTGTTTCTATAACTAAAGAAGTTCATAATCGACTAGCTGTAATTCTATGCATCAAGAAGCTTATCGTCGACTTCATCGTCATCAGATTTGATCAGCACTGAAACAGATCAGTCAGCGAATGAAAGCTTACATTCGATCTTCAAGTGTACTCGAGATCCTAGAGGGAGTTCTACTATTTTCTAACCATTGATTCTACAAAATCCACCCTCTTTTACCCGGGTGGATGACCAGTAAAGTTGTTTCTTTCATAGGCATTTTCATTGATACTCAAAAATTCCGTGATGTAATCTATACAACCAAATAGATTGGGAATATTCTCCCGACTGTTTACCGCCTCACTGTGGCTGGGAGATGTTCCTGGGTGTCGGGTAGCGATGTACAGCACGTGAATTCATCCACCTGGCAAAGTTTCTCAAGCTGAGAAGGAGTCCGGCGTTTCAATCAGGAAGCCTAGCTAAGAGTAAACCAATACCAGGAACCACCACCGTCTTGGTATCAAATTAGTCGCATGGTGGCAAATCTCCCTCTGATCCACAAGGGCTGCTACTGCTTGTGGTAGTGAAGACCTAGGGCAGGTTTTGGCCAAATTGTTCTCGGGACTCCAGAGAATCACAATGGCTAAACCAGTAAATCTCCGAAAAAAATGGACATTATACTGGGGCCCGCACAATCAGTGAGGATGGGCCATTCAAGCGTCAAACACCAAGTACTGCCCATGAACTGTTCCTAGTTCCCTTGTTCGAAAATTTTTAGGCTCGGTTCTTAGTTGGGCATGAAGCATGAAATACAATGAAAAATTAAAAATGGATTCAAAGAACTAAATTCTTCTGTATCACAGCATAAGTACAAACTGACATTTGTTGAAGAACGGAATGGCGATAAGGACTAGAATATTGCCCACGGTGTAGACGTAAAACAGTAGATCCAACCAGAAATCGTTAATGAATCCGATATTAACATTCTGCCAACATCTCTGTAAGTATAGTGAATTGAAGACGAGACACGCTTTGTAGAGAACTCCATGCAGACCAATTATCAGTGGATGCTACGTACTAAGAAAAAGTTAAGGTTTATGGTGAACGGCATCGCTTCGTTAACGTTAATGTCTTTAAAATGTGTAAATCGTCTCAGATCTTATTGTTACCAGTAAGTTCTGGAAAAGAATTTTAAAACTCTTTGCACAAAATTGCACCAAATAAGTTGATATATGCTCAGTTCTGGGCAGAAGAAGCTTCCGAAAGCTTCAAAGAGTTGTTTGCTTGCCATTGAAACCTTAGAAACATGCACTTATAAATCTGTGTTATCGGACTCTCAGCATGCACCATGTCAACGTCTTTCGAGCGTAAACACAAACAAATAACCGATGCACCCATGCAAAGTTGAACTAATAAGTAGCAAGAAAATGTAAAAAAGAATCTCATCTAAGAGAAAGACTGCCTAGTCCTATAATTTTGACTAACGATTATTTTTTTAAAGAAACCACAGTCGTTATAAATCTAGGACGAAACAGACGGTATGATTTCTCATGAGATCTAAAAACCACTATGACGGAAATTCCCACCATAACAAAAGTTGTTTCCCTAGAGAGACTGAATGCCACTTTACTACACTGCGCTTATCATCGAGTTTGGAATTCTGAATAAAAGGTCGGGTGAAGAAAAGACAAAGCAAAGGCCTCGATTGTTGTGGAGGAGAGCATGAGAGCATCGCTGAAGGGTAATCGCGGGTTCGAAGCCCATTTGAGACCCCGAGTTTTGCTCACATCTTTTTCATTGTATTTTACATCATACACTGCCACGAAAAAAGAATAGGCAGTAAATAAAAGTTATACATGCGATTCAGTAATTGCAAACTCAGAAAATCTCAAAATCAACAGGTTCAGTAGAAAAGTTCCACTGAAAATTCCAACGTCTCATTTTTGACCAATCCCAACACTATTTACTAAACCTTGTTAGCTCACAATGTTAACTTTTTTTACTACTTATTACTGAGGGACGAAGCTAAGGACCTACAAGGTGTGGTGGTGAACGTGTTAGCCACCGGAAAGGGTAATAGGGCGTTCGTTCCCCACCGCAGACACCTGCGGTTCGGAGTTTTGCAAATATCTCAGCATCATTGTGGTTGCTACCCATTATTATTTTCTACGGTAGCGTATGATATGAAATACAACCACTACGATGCTGAGATATTTGCAAAACTTGAAAACCCAGGCCAGATCGAACCGCGACTACCTTTTGCGGCAGCTTCCGTGTTACGCATAGCACCACTGAAGCTTTTGCTTTGCTCTTCTCTCAGCCAGTGTTCTATTTGTTAATTGAATTAAAATTACATATAAAATAAGCCACACAAATATTCCATGGCAAATTTTTCGAAATCATCACGAGACAGAAATACGCACACACAAATGATAAATAATCTTGTAAGAAGAGATCACGCCACGCTCACATGCTCGTCAGGCACCTCCTTGTCGTCGTCGTTGGTACAATCGAGCGTCTCCTCAAGCTCCGTGAGGAACTGCTCCTCCTTCTCAGCAAGTGCGAAGTGCTCGTGAAATGACCGTACAGCAGTGCCAGCACCCAGCCATGCCCAAACCAGTGCCAGAAACATGGCGAGGACAAAAGACGCCATGATAAAGAACATCAACCAAGCAAGACGTCGATGTACCAGACACTGAAAAAGACGTTTATAACAGTAAACGTCACATAGGCTACTTAATGGAAATTGAACAGTGGCAGGAAGCTTAGTAAACAATAACTGCAAGAGCGTAACTCCAAACTTCATTATCATTCATGAGATATTAACGAACCATGGATCTCAAGGATTTGTCTCCTCAAGTTGTGGTCTTCATTGAAAAATACAGATATTGAAACGCTCATAAACAGCACAGATTCTGGTCATTAGCCGCACAATCCTCGAAAACCACAACTTCCTACAGGCATTTTGACTCATCTCTTGCTCTTCTTTACATATATTACATGGTATTTTTCTTGCCTAGGATTCACTTATCCAAGCGTAGACTCACTATTTTCAAAGGAAAAAAAGTTCTACATACGCAAGACTCTGTTTCACACCTCCGATGCTTGGACGTTACAGATTTAAACCCGCCTACCCCTAAAACAACTCTCGACTCCAGTTTAAAAATGAAACCAAGCCAAGAAAAGAGTGGAGCAGTCGCATAATTACTTCTAACATGAAAACAGTTCATAGAACTTACCAGATGACTGCGATTTCCTCGCTTATCATTAAAGTCGAAAAACTGTGGAATGGTGATAACCATAGAGAGCAGTACACCTATTGTAGATGTCACCCAAAGTGTCATCATCTTGTGCTTGTACTGAAATCACGACTTAAAGGTTCATTCTGCTAATATTTCCGTCAAGAAATCCCCAGGAGTCACATTAGCCAATTCCACAGCCTGCTTTTCAGTCATTCAGCTATCCAAATGGAGACAATTTCAACCTAATTAATGAACGCTGTACTGCCAGAAATGAACACTAAAATGAAAAATGAAAAAAATGAATGCTCTAAAACAATTTTTTTCGTCTCCTCCTATCACTCACACCAACTCAAATTGTTTTCATACAGTAGAATTTAGAATATGTTCCGATAAATAGGGAACAGAATGTTTAAAAGGAAGAAATGTAAAAATTCCCATTCATACAAATCTACGTTTTACCGCCTTATCGAGTAAGAGGAGTAAGTCAATCTACAGTGCTTCGTTTTCTTGTTCAGCAATCGCGAGGTTCTTAAACAGCATACATTTACTTCCATAGAAAAACACAATACAATACAACGCTAGCTGACGTTTCGGCAGTATCGCCTTCTTCAGAGCCTGGAAGGGTATACTGATATGCAATCAACTAGGCCAAACGCTTCAATAACACTTACAAGAAGACGAAAGACTCTTTGGTAATTACATGATCAACAACTTCTCGAAAAACCCACCGCTTTTTCGTGACTTCCAATGAGGAAGTTTAGAACAGCTGGTTATAGTCGCATGTGGTTGACGACTGCACCATCCCACATCAGAAATCGATGCGAACATACGGGGTCAGGTCGCGTATAACCTTCGGGCATTCATCCCTGCTATTCATTGTAGGGTTTCTGGCATTTATCCAAAAAGCCTTAGTCTCCTGTGCAAGGATATTGACTTTTACTTCAAAATCGTCTCCGCTATGCTTTTGTATCCTATGCGTGCCTAGTGGGGTGCTTCGTCTTAGTTTTCGTTTGCCATCTAGGTGTTCTTTTATACGGATACACAAAGGTATGCCCGTTTTGCCAATATATTCATCTCCGCAATTATTACAAGTGTTCAGGTATATCGTACCTGAACTCATGCAATCACCGTCCCTGCCGTAAGGGCAAATTACGCAATTTGTTGCTTCACACAGACGGTCATACAGGCGGTTACGAACTTATTGGCGACGTAGAGTAGCCGGTGGATTTCAACTATCGCTACCGATTCCTCTAGACCTTCCCTTCTTAAGCATCGTTTTATAGCTGCGCTTACTTCATCGCTTATAAAAGGCAACACAAACGGGACCTTCTTTTGGCCAAGTGTTTCGCGTGGGCGCGTCGCTCTCCTTCCAAACTTATCTCGTGGGGTTACTATTTCGTAGCCATTGTTGATGGCTATTTGCCGAGCCAAATCGCGCGATTCTTCCTTTAGTTCCTTGGTCCCTGGTAGTGCACACAGAGGTGGCTGTTCGAAACATGTTTCTCACAATCGCCCTCTTTGTGTGTGAAGGGCGGGAAGAAAGGAAATGAACGAGGATATTATTGTTACTTGGCTTTCGATACCACTTTGTCAGGTAACCGCTACTTGATAGGTTTATTTGGACGTCCAAAAACGGAAGCCAGTTTTCTCTCGGTTTCTCCCGGGTGAACTTTATGTACTCGGACTGCTCGTTTAATAATTCGAAGCATTTGTCCATCTCCTCCTGCGTAGAGAAGACGACAAAACAATCATCTACATATCTGCAGTAGAGTAGTGGCCGGAGATCGAGAACAGGGGCTTCTATCTTAGACATAAACACAATGGCAAGGCTTGGTGCCAATCGCTGTCCCATTGCTAACCCCCTTATTTGCGCGAAATATTTCCCAGACCATCTGAAAATCGAGCAGTTTAGGCACTCCTTTCAGAGAGCCATTAGCAAATAGCAAAAGATTAGCAAAAAAGAGCAAATAGCCATCAACAATGGCTACGAAATAGTAACCCCACGAGATAAGTTTAGAAAGAGAGCGACGCGCCCACGCGAAACACTTGGCCAAAAGAAGGTCCCGTTTGTGTTGCCTTTTATAAGCGATGAAGTAAGCGCAGCTATAAAACGATGCTTAAGAAGGGAAGGTCTAGAGGAATCGGTAGCGATAGTTGAAATACCACCGGCTACTCTACGTCGTCAATAAGTTCGTAACCGCCTGTATGACCGTCTGTGTGAAGCAACAAATTGCGTAATTTGCCCTTACGACAGGGATGGTGATTGCATGAGTCCAGGTACGATATACCTGAACACTTGTAATAATTGCGGAGATGAATATATTGGCAAAACGGGCATACCTTTGTGTATCCGTATAAAAGAACACCTAGATGGCAAGCGAAAACTAAGACGAAGCACCCCACTAGGCACGCATAGGATACAAAATCATAGCGGAGACGATTTTGAAGTAAAAGTCAACATCCTGGCACAGGAGACTAAAACGCCAGCGCGAAAACCCCTTGAGGCTTTTTGGATAAATGCCAAAAACCCTACAAGGAATAGCAGGGATGAATGCCCGGAGGTCATACGCGACCTGACCCCGTATGTTCGCATCGATTTCTGATGTGGGATGGTGCAGTCGTCAACCACATGCGACTATAATCAGCTGTTCTAAACTTCCTCATTGGAAGTCACGAAAAAGCGGTGGGTTTTTCGAGAAGTTGTTGATTATGTAATTACCAAAGAGTCTTTCGTCTTTTTGTAAGTGTTATTGAAGCGTTTGGCCTAGTAGATTGTATATCAGTATACCCTTCCAGGCTCTGAAGAAGGCGATGCTGCCGAAACGTCAGCTAGTGTTGTATTGTATTGTGTTTTTCTATGGAATTAAATGTATGCTGTTTAAGAACCTCGCGATTGCTAAACAAGAAAACGACGCATTCATATTCCAATGCCGAGGTTAATAGAAAGTCGATCCTGCAATCTACAGTATATAGTCGGTGGTTCATTACTTTAAACACTGTTGTAAAAGCTGGAACCCTAACGTCAAAGTAGAAAACCCGAGTTTTCTGTAATAATCAGACGCTTCGACTTGGCTACCTCATGAATTCAGGCAGAATCCTACTTTAATAACAAAAAACTCAAGTTCAATACTCAGCAACGGGTTTTATTACCAAAGCGGGGGTTACCACAAGTGGAAAGAAAGCACAAAATCTTATGTTGTACGTCATTAGAGTCGGGCAAGGCGAAACTGTGTCATCTTTCGGAGGATTTTTTTTCGTTTTGCACCAACAAGATAAGAACCACCTACTCCATAGATGTTCATATTTATTTCTGTTGAAGTGGCAAGATATATCAAGTACCATGTGGTCGCCCTGCAGCGAACTATGAACACGACGGCATACCAGGAAAAATTACTCGGTTAAAACTGTATGAGAATAGAACATCCAATGATTACGGAACTGCTGTACATAAGTTACGCCATGTCGCTTATCATCCTTCCTCGGTCTCCAAGCTAAAAGAAGCACAAAAGCATCTCTTGCAGTCTAACAAACGGCTAAGTTACTAAATTTGTACTAAGCCATTTACAACTAAATTTCCAATGAAAAATAAGACATGATATTCTCAAAGAAATTGCCGACCGTAAAAAAAGGGATAAAGTTTTCGGCGTTGATTAATCCCATTATGCATTCGACTTCATTAAGTATCGTTTGGAGGTAATTGAACGTATATCTAGTTTTTAGAATGATTTGCGGTGGTCTACCGATGTATCGAGCCAGTTCTGCTATCCTCCCAGGCAAGTCTGGTAGTAACATGCCGACCTCGGAGAGATGGAAGGCTTGGTGGGATAGGGCGCGGGGATCGATCCCATGTGAGTGTTGCAGTGCGCCTCCGACCATTGCGCCACACTGCCCATCGTAACAATATAATATCTGGATACTGGGGACTTATGAGTGTAGGGAAAGTCGCGTATGTTATTAATGAAAGGTTTATTGCAAATCGTAACTAATTCTTCGAAAAATTCTTCGTTTCATTGAAGAAGTACCAAGACGACAGACACTTAAAGGACTTAATAAAGCAGGAAGGATGTGTACTACTTTGAATAAAACGTGAGAAAATCCATTTTATGAAAACGTTTTATGTACTGGAAAATAAATGGTGACAAATGGTCCTTTGAAAGCGGAAAGTACATCTCCTGCATGCGTAAGGTGTTCAATGAACTCGTGAACGGATTGAGTGAACTGCTTCGGAAATTTGGTGAAGAGCGTTAGTAGTTTCGCGTTTCTCAACCTGAGAGACCAAATAACGGATCGAACATTCCAAAAATATTCCATCTTCGTCACGTAGAAGAATATAGAAAGGAAAAAGTGTCCAGCGTTGATCAATCCCTGAAGAACACGCCATGAATTCGATCTCATTCGTATCATCGTGAAAATGATGGAATGGAAATCTGGCCTATACGGTCCCAACGATTTATCCTCCTTACCGACGTGTCAATTCAGTATTTCTTTTTCTCGTCAATAAGGCTTGTGGCAATTTTCCAACGATGGAGAGATGGAGATTTTGGTCAGTCCAAAGCGCGGAATCGAACTGACGATTAATTAAGTTTGTATTGGAGAGCACCTGTAACCACTGTTCTACACGTCCAATATAACGGAGTCCAATTCCAAAAGAAACATAGATGAGCTGCTCATGTGGTGAGCAAAGACCATTACTAGTGCATAAAACGAAATGTGTAGTGCAGCAAAAAAGCAGGTAAGCACTCCTAAAGGACGACTTTCTGTAAGATTAGCAGGAAATCACTGTACTCGGATCTGTTTCTTGCTTAGGAACGAGCACTCTAAACTCGTCATTGACAACGAAAGAACGAAGAAGACTACCTTAAGAAACAAATTCCGCAAAAGAACGAAACTAATCTATCATTTCAACAATTCAACATTCGTCAACAGCATTGAATTAAAAAAGTACTGGCAAGAAAATTATATCACATGATTCGCGACCAACGATTCTCCGAGAAGGTAATGAAAAGACGAACGTAAAGAGTGCTATCACTGTCACACTCTGCAACTAGACCCGAAAACTGTTTGAATTTATACATTTACATACCCACTAGTGAACTAATATAAATGATAACTGCATAGAGCTCATCGTCGATCATTGCGTACCTGTTGCTTATTAAATCATCGAAACGTCCTACCCATTTACCACATTTTTAACCAGCCGTGGTAGCGCTTAGATAATTCTTGATATACTGCAGACTCAGCCGAGTCTGAGTTATCCCAGACTAGTTTTTCTTCATCAAAACGAACCGGAGCATGACGCTGCGCGGAGGTGGACATAGGGTGGATGGAAGAGGAAGAGTGGGCTTTAGGTTAACATTTTTTCTTCTCCTGAACTTCTTAAAACACTTAAAGGAGTGCCCCATAAAAGCCCAATCCTGGAAACGATTTAACTTTATAGCATTAATAAAACAAAATGATAATTCTGTAATCTTCAAAGTTTGTTTGTATAACTTGTGCTGCCTGTGTACTTTTTTGCTACTCAAACAGTTTGACTGCTAGAGGCCTCCTATCTATTACTTTATAAACTTTATTCTTTATAACCAGTTTTCTACCTTCATATCATCTCTACTTTTCGATAAAAAAAAAAGAACGATCTGTGGTCAGTTGATAAAAGACACCGACCATTTCCAGCTCATGTTTTTCTTCCTGAGTCCAGTGAAAGCCCGGAACGTTTTTATTCACAGTGTCGTCGAACATTCGATAAGCAATCGGCAATATCAGCGTCGCTGACTTATAGTAGGCTTCACTAAAAACTGTAATTCTATGGTAGAAAGTATTCCTTCATAAAATTTTAGATTCAGTTTGAAATCCAACTGAATTTTCCTAGAAAATTTTAAACGCAATAGAACTCAACTAGATCTTTAATAGGATTAAAGCTACGTTTCGCATTCTAAAGCGGTTCATGAACTCTACGATAATAGGACATAAGAAAAGAATAGCATCGTGCCATTATTACGTAAATATCGGCACTTCTTCCTGGAAACTTAATGAATTCTACAGACGATTCAGTTCTTTTTCATGAAAGGAAGATGCTGCAGTTTCTCTTAACAGTACCAGACATATCATAGCCACTTAGTTCTCCTCATGCGAAGTGTGGTGTCAATTTTGTTCTCCGTATTTCATGGTGGGGAATAAATGATTCAGAACATTTTATTGGTTAGAGGATTATAGTATGAAACAATGGAAAATCCTTACTGACAATGCTAAACAATTACTGCTATAGTGGATTCTGTAAAACTCAAACCAAAAATCTTCTGGTCACAGTGGAATTTGATTCTATCACAAAAGGAAAAGGTGAGAAAAAGATGTGTAGATGAAACTGTATGGTTTCGAGTGTTGATGTTGTAGATTGTATTTGTTGTCTTAACAGAGTTCTCAACCATACCTGATGGCTAACACGAAAGCACAGTAGAGGAATTGAAAGCCAATGAAGAGAAACACCGCGTATTTGTAGTAAGGTGGAAAAAAACGAGAGACATAACTCATCTGAAAAAACACGCAAAACGACAGTAACATTGATGAGACACAATTTGTTCATATGCTGGAGATAATATAGGATAGCCTTCATGGCCCACACGCTTTTGAATTAGCATCAAACACATCAAATATTGATTGAAATCGATCGGTATCGTTCAAAGGAATGAACAGTTCCAAATGATGCATTCAAGCTTAAATTAAGTACAAAGTAGGTGCGAGAGAATAGAACTGCAAGATATCACTCCTGGATCGGGAAATATGTGGAAAAGAATGCAACTAAAACGGTTACAAGTAGGAAAAGCTTCTCGACCCGAATCTATCGGCTTCTCACTTCTTAAGAAATGTGTACTGAATTTGTATCTACAAGAATATCACTTCGAATTGCACCGGTAGAGGTTTTTTCGCCCTTATGCAAACATAAATAGATTAATACGGTTATTTCTAATTACCGTGCTTTTAAATACATCAACTTTTGGAAGATTGCGGGATTTCTTTTAGGAAAGAAAGAAAACTGGACGCTGGTAACACAGTCTTAGAAGATGCCGTTTGATACCAACAAGACTAGTTCGACGCCGTAACGGACCATCTAAGAGCCCATTCCTCCAAGGATGGGAAATCGGCAGAACACTTGTTTGGGAAGTGTTCTCTCCTATCCGCAACAACTGGCGACCGACTGCCTGTGGCTGAGACCTGGGAATGTCCTATCATGCTTATCCCATGATTCCAATGAATATCAATTCGACGAGCATTCAATGACATTTATAAGGATAATCAAAAATCCTCAAGTAGCAATCGAACTCATAAGTAAATGCGAATACCTTTATAGATGACGGATTTCAGAAAGAACTGCCTGGATTTGCATATACGGTAATTCAAAATAAAGTACAAAAAGAGTCTGAAAAAAACACATGCACTAGTGAGTTGAGCCATAGCGAATTCTAGCTGACCACCAGCAAAACGTACAACCACAAAAGAATTGCAATTGAAAAACAAACAATAAACAACAAACAACAGCAACTGCAACTACAAAAAACTGAAATAGGTTATGCTACTTTCAAACTAAACAACTACCTCACTTCACATTTCTTGAATAAAAATATAAAAAACATAAGGCTGACCAGTAGTGGTGCTTGATGAGCAAAAATTGGAAAGGTGATATCGTTCACTTCATTTACTTGGATACTTCTTAGACTGTTCGACCTCAGTGGTTGTGCGGACCATAGCACAATGTCTATTTTTCGGAGTTTTGCTGGTCTGGCCATTGTGCTTCCATGGAGTTCTGGGGTCAGCCTGGCCAAAATCTGCCCCAGGTCGTCACCACAACAGGTAGTCGCCACCCTTGTGGATTAGAGGGAGATTTGCCACCATGCGACTAGTTTCATACCAGGACAGCAGTGGATCCTGGAATTGATTTACTTTTAGCTGGGCTTCATGGTGAAAACGCTGTACTAATTCTCAGCTTGGAAGACACCACCAGGAGGATAAACATCCCTGCTGCACATCACCCACACCAGGAACATCTCCCAGCCATGATGAGGCAGTAAACCGTTGGAAAGGGTTCACTTCCCTTAAAATGAAAAATTTCCGAAGAACGGCCGGAAACCCCGCCTCCGTACTGAGAAACTTCAGACTTTTTTCTGCTTTCATCGATCTTCTAGTATTTTCTAGAGAATAGGAAAGGCTCACTTAAAATATTTCCGAATAAACAAAAATCGAAAAACCAACCAAGTAAAGTGTTTATTTTTTTGAAAATATTATCCATGAAGAGATTAGGAGAATGGAATTATCTTCTACCTAGATGAAGCGGAAAGCATTAACTTCCATCATACACTTCGTTATCGCTCATTCATTCATTCATAGACGATTAGCACTCACTTAACAACTTCGTATATTTTTGGTCTGTACGAGAAAAAGAACTTCTAAGACTTCAATGAAAGACTAAAACAAGACGTCACTGGGTAATGTGGAGCTTTTCTTCATAACTACTGATTGGCTTTATTACTGCTAAGTGCTTAAAATCCTCTTAAAGCAAATAGTTCACCTGGTAAACACCATATGTTATTCCAAATGATTAACGTTTTGCAAAAATCGATCATTTAAACATTTTTCTTTAGTTGTTAAGACCAGTTCCTTCCACATTACAATGACTTGGACTTTCAAAAAAGTGCAGAAATCCAAAGTATTCATTATGCCTGGCAATGGGTTATCTTTCTTTCTATCTTCCCACTTAACTTCTCTTTTGTTTTTATTTCTGAACTCCACGCTCTTCGAGACGTTGAAATGGCTCCTCATCATTCCATTCTGGTAAACAACACTTACAGAAAATCAAGGTAAACTGCTATTAGAATCCATTTCCGTCCACTAATAACAACTATAACTACTTTTCATCGTCATTGATCGCAATGATTACCATTACGAACACTCAATACAACCAGGGGATCTAGTCGTGATCACGACTACAGTACTTCAACCACTACTTAGTGCAGTCTTTTAGAAAGCTGTGAATTCTTGGAATGAAGCCCGTAATGACGTCGTTTTCATCTTCTCCTGTCGTCGGGTTCACTTTTCGCGTTTTCTGGCCGCGGATTTCAGTCAACATCGGTGAGAGAAGAATGCAACAAGACAAGAAAAGGAGGAGACGAAGAGATAAGTATATGGAATACGGAACTCGAAATAACAACATTATCTAAATAGTCTAATCCTGAAGAAATACGGAGCTACCAAGCAAACCAGTTGAATTGCACTCTTAGGCATCGCCTAGAAATTCATTTAGGAAGTCAACAGTGACTTTTTGATGATCTGTTAGGATAAATCCTTGCTCTAGTAATCGGTAACCTTCTGCTAGCACTTCATCGACAGTCGAGGAATGGGAAAATTCATCTACATAGGAGATTATGCTAGACAATACATAGAGACGTATAACGGCATACCAATGCACCCTGTTACACTCTGAGCTGATTATCAGTTAGAACAATATAGTAAACAAACTAGCCATAATTTAATGATAACAGACAGCAGGACGCTTCATCAGAGTACAACCGCTATCGCTATCAAAAACATTTGAAATCACAAACATGGGATTTATAGAGCACTGAGCTTACCATATCATAGCAATGTTTGTCAAGTCCAGGCTTAAACCTCTCTGGCCTTGTTGGGATTCGGAAGAGAAGGAACAGAACTGGTTCAGGAACGAATTCCGGACGAATTTTAAAAAATCGGAAAAAATACTACGAAAAAACACTTGTACATAGATTTGACAGATCGAGAAATTTTCAACATCAACTCCAGGAACAAATATTGACTGAAAAGCAAAGGGAAAGGAGCCGTCGAAAGCATAACAGAGTGACGTGAATCGAAATGAATTATGAATCCATGAATCGCTTATAGCTGCCATATTCAGCCTAAAATATTTCTTTGGCTGAAAGTCGCCCCATATTACCTAAGTAATACTAAAGTGAGACCAAGCTCAACTTTTTGACTGGTTATAACTGGGTTTACTTGCTGTTTTATTACAAAACGAACACTTCTACTGTCTCAAAATATAGAAAAATAGAACATTCGGCGCACATGAGTCTTTTCTAGAAAATGCAAATGATAATGACGACAAGTAAGTTGTCCCCAGAGGTCCTCCGTCTCACATCAGTGATGAAGTATTGTTGACAGCAGAGGTAGGTTTTCAGTTACAAAATGTCTAGGCGCACACACAGCAGTAAAGGTGATGTGTGCTTGTGGTTACGACTTGAAGATATTCTAGTGTATCTCAATACTTCATAGACCAAATGTAGTACAGTTTGCTTACTACAAGTACAAGATTTTATTTAAGAAAGGCGAAGACCATGAGGAACAAATCTAACACGAACATAGAACATTAAGATTTGTATAGCGCTATATAAAATACGTCCAGGCTATGAAGAATGCGAAGTCGTCAAAACGTCAGCCACCGAATCCCTGACAACAACAACAACTGATACCAACCTAGCGTCAACTCAACAAGTGTAGTGCGTAAGATTTACATACGTTAATTACTCGTGCCAAGGCTCTTAGAAAGTCAGCCCTTTACGTTAAATGAAGTTAGAAAAGTTATCGATCAATGAAGAAGAAAGTCGATAGGTGTAAATTAGAGCGACAATACATAACATAATCGACACCGATCAGGGCGAGTGGGCGTGGTTGGGTTGGTGAACGAAGGTGAAGAGAGTTATGAATGGGACAGAGAAAGAGACAGAGAGAGAAGCTGAGAGGGAGATGAAGGAAAAAGAGAAGATAACGTAGTATCATCAGAACAGTGATCTCTATCATGATAAAGACTGGTAGTTGATCAAGTGATACACAGATCAACGTGCTCAACAGTGGTTGTGTGGATTTGCAGAAGAAAGGACAAAAAAAAACAAATGGATAGACGGACGGGCGAGCAGCGGCTGGATGAAAGTGACTGCGAACGACCGAGCAAACAAACTCCATACGCAGGCGATATGATGGCGATCAACAAGTATGTTCTCGTGCCGTCTCTGTCTTATTACGTCGACTGGCATATTTTTAGAGTGATTTCGATCGATCAACGCTCATGTTGAGTCGGGTTGTAGTGAAGTGCTAAAGATAAGCCGACTGATTTTTGTCGGATGTGTACCGAGCACTGTATATCAAATAATATACTCTTTCCATACCACTCATTTAGTTTACTCAGTAGATCCAACTAAATTATTTCCTATAAAAGATTCATGTTCAGGAACACGAAGACCACTCAACAACTTCAAAACTAAAACGGAAGAGTAGTGATGTAAAGTAAAACATGCACTAAAATGTGTAGAACACCAATGGCACTTTTCCACAGACAAGGACTCATGCCACTATCTACACTTTGCATGACCTACGTCTTTAGTAACATCGTTGTTTGGCGTAATATGTTGTAATTTGTTTTCATCAGTTGAAAACTGGTCCGGTTGCCAGTTCGATCTCTCGCTTCGAGCACACGACGTACTTCGTCCCTCTTCGAGGTCGCCAGATTCGTACCAGACTTGTCTGAGAGGCTGGGAGGAGAGCAGCACTGACTTCATAGACTAGTAGCCGACCGCAAGTCGACGTACTGGCCAGACATGCGTTTAACCACCTCTACAATTACTGATGAAGTCAATTGCAATGCGCATTCGTCAGTGATTTACCATTGCCGAAAGCTTTATCACTTACGTCGAAAACGCTACAAGCAACTAACACTATCTGATCGCTTGTGGTCACAACGCGGTCGTTTTGTTCTCCACTCATAACAACAGTGGCAGTTCTCACACATTACACTCTTACCTCTATATTCCATACGTTCCCACTGAGTAAAGTGTCACTGTGATCAGCAGACTTAGAAAGACCGTAGATTACTTCGGCAGTCTTATCTGTATCCTGACTTGACACAGGGCTAAAATGACCCAGGAAATTTCAAATTGTCCTGGCACCTTGTTGCAGTACAGTTAAGTACCGTTGCTACTCAGCTTCAGTACCGATCATATCGACAAGGTATACACTCAGAGGTGGAAATTGTTGTTCAGCCGTGGCATCGCTTTCTTTTCCTACGATACGACTGGCGTGCATAATGGGAGGACTTGACTCTCCAATCGGGAAATCGAAAGTCAAAAATGGGACTGTCTGAAATTCGAAACGATTACAGCAGAAAATATACAGAAGAATAAAACAAAGTGCTGACAATACAAAGAAAATTCTCAGGGTCTGGAGTCGCATTATCTGAATTAACAGCTGCCTCGTATGAAATAGTGTCCGTCGACTTCTCTATCCATCCTAAAGCAAATACAAAAACACCAAACACCACTTATTCATCGTATCATAAAGGAAAATGAGTCCAAAGTTGAAGGTTAATGAAGGAAGAGCAAAACGGTTAGCATTTTGAGAAAACTGAATGAATCTTTACCACAACAAAGAAGCTGTTCGATATTTGTAACAGCATGCTTCAAAGTAAGAATCTAGGTATCAACTAAAACGAAGCACACAATTGGTTATGGATAATATTCATTGACCTTAAAAAAATGCCGCTTCTTTCAATCCCACCTTCATTTCAAAAAACACAAATTGGTCCAAGGACTATCACACGGAGCCCACCAATACGGGGTTTAGTTTCCTTATGTGCAAGAGAACTTTTGAGGATGACGATACTATGTGTACGGCATCTCGCACGGGACCGACTAGAAGCTTCTCAGAATAAGAACCACAGATGAAGCTAAGAGCATTAGTTGCAGCAACAACACTAAGGCAACGTGATTCTTGTTGTTAAAGACTTTGCTCATCCATGGGTGTAATAGCCCGCATTATAGCGATGAGCAACAGCTAATTTATGAAAAGATGTTTGCGACGTATGCAAAGGGCTGATGCTAAATATCTATATAATTGCTTTCTTTTCTTTACGTTGGATTCATTTATTCGCAGCCGCCATCATCAAAGGTCTTCGAACTTCTTGAGGGTGAGTTCGACTGCTGCTTGAGGATTTTCTTGTCATCATGAATGTTCTTCTATGCTTGTCGAGTCGACATTCTCTGAAGGCCTGGGATATCCAAGCGCTCTCACTTAGCTTGCAAAGAGCGAACTATTCTTAGACGAGTACGGCACCAATTTCCCAAGAGGTTTGATGAACTCAGAGCGATGTGGAGCCAGCACCGTGGCAGCGATAAACGATATCACTGCCACTGTGCTACCCAACCTTATAATCTATATAACTAGGTTTTATAACAAGTGTTTATTATTAGCATTATTAATACTAGAAATTTTGCAACTATTTTGTTATTGTTATTATTATTACTATTATTAGAACTAGCTGAGAGACAAGCGAAGCGAAGGACCCATATGGTGGTGAACGCGTTACTCCCCGGAAAGGACAATAGCGCGATCGTTCCCACCGCAGACAACTGCGGTCCGGAGTTTTGCAAATATCTCATCAGCATCATTAAAGCTACTATTATCAATATTGTGATAATTGTAGACGGTCAATAGGCGAGAGGACTCAGTGTTCTATAGGGAAGTGCATATAAAGTTCCTCTCACATATCTTCATGATTCCATCTACAGCGAAGGCTCCGATAGAAAACAAAGCAATAGCTGATCAAAAGACAGCTGTGCTAGTATTTCTAAGCTAATAAGGTCGTCATTTAGCTCAACTAAAACACTTTCCAGAAGAAGAAGGAATTTTCCAAATGCAAACCTTACTCTCTCGTAGTTCTCTAATATTGAGATTGAAAACTACAACTGCAAGAAAAAAAAAAACGAAAGTTGGAGATGTAACATTCCTCCATTTCTTTCTTGAAACTCCTTCATCAATTTGGGAGTGGTTTAATGAATAAAGAACAAATACAGTAATCCATTTTCTTCCCTAGCTGACATTTAAAAAACATCTAAAACATAAAAAAACATAAAGAAAACATAAAAAACATCTGGAGATCACATTTTTCCCTTAAAAACGAGTATGGAAAGAAAAGATCTTTTCATGGCTCGTCCTTATCCAAAGAGAAACTTTGAAAATGAAACCACTGTTACAATAAAAGAAAACACGTGTTCATTGACGTGAATTGATTAACTGAGCACTTGCACTTGACGTTCTAAGTCGTATCAACAATGGAAATCATGATTATTTTCCATAGTGATACGGGCTTATATAGGATCTGAATAGAAAAACTAGAAAGTTAGAAAGAATTTTTATCATAAGACTGCACTTGGTAAACAGAGTGAGACATCAAGGAGGAAAGCGGCACTGAAGAAGAACCAGGCATCCAGATGCATTCGGGTAATGCATTCGGCGTTGATCAATCCCTTAGGTGATGCGCCATACGATTCCGCTACGCATGATCTAGGTGATTGAATGCATATTTAGTCTACAGAATAACTTTCGGTGGCCCGTTATGTATAAGGTCAATGTAGTTATCCTCCCAGACAAGTACCGATTTGTCGATACTGGAGAGATGGAGGCGTTGGTTTGCTCAGAGCTCGTACTCAAACGAACGACCACTAGTGTGTTGCAAGGCATCTAAAACAATTGAGCTACATGAAACCTACAAATGCCAAAAATAAGTCTGTAGTTAGCTGCGCTAATGTTTTAGACCGTTCTGTCATAATATTTTAAGTGCAGTGTTTTGGTGTATCAGTGGATGTTTACAACGTAACCATATGGAAAAGAAAACTTGGACCATCCGATTCTTTACACCATGGATGAGATGGCCACAATAGATTTTGAAACGTCTTCAGGAGTAAGAAAAAAATGTGGCAAATAGCGAGAAGGACGAGGCATTCTATGCTCTATTCACTGAAGGACGCTGGATTCGCACACTCCCGGATTTTTTCGGAACGAAATCGAAATCCCATTGTCACTGTAAAACCACGAAAACTAAGAGCATCTAAACATTACAAAATACGGCGATCTGCAATGTAATAGTCGCACCGAGGCTGTGATCAAAGTTGTTTTAGTGGACTTCTTCAACGTAACGGACAACAATCGTTAACTATTTACATAAGATTGTCCGAAAACCGAGTAAACTCATCTTTTAAGTGGATAACAACATTTAAACTGTAAAAATTGACTGTTTTAAAGTGGCAACCAGTGCTCTAGGCCTGAAGAGCATTCGCATCCGTCGAAAATTGATTACAATCTCATCTGCTCCACCATACATTGACCAAATCATCACAGCTGTTGTTTTGTTTAATGTCATTTTTGTTACTCATTCCCTAGTAAAATAGTGTAGTCATTAAAATCACGACAACAGGCGTCGTTTACTTCCTGGAAGAACGTTGACCTGATAAATGGAGGCGGTGGAGCTTTAGGACGAAGCGCATTACAGCCGGGAAATGTTGAGCAGTTGTGACACGATCGCGTCACATGGTCACCAGCGATTCCTATCAAATTCGATGGTGATCGATCAACAGAATCCATCATAGAATTCGACATTACATTAACCTCATCTCCATCATATTGGATACTATACAAAATAATCCACGCATCGGCTCTGTGGAGAGAATAAATGCCCCATAGTTTTATTTTCTTCTGCATTCGGAAGGACTTTCTATCACGAAAGATTTTCGTCTGTTCGAATTTCCATACTTCTAAACGGAGGCTGGAGAATACAGTTGGTGTTGATTTTTGGCTGAACAACAGGCCCAGAACGACTTTTGGCTTTTCCAAGATTCCACGTCATTATTTGTTTCCTATACAATGTAGCTATGAAAGCTGCTCCATCGTAGCGAATGCAACTGTTACAATGAACGTGACCTCATAAAAAAGTAGTGGATAGGAAATTAAGAGAATCAAATGAAGACCTCAATTATCGCTAGCGATCTTTACTACATCGAGACTGGCCTTTCGTGGGAGAATCGAACCATCAGATACCGCTGCGTTCGTTTCTATGGATAGAAATGCTTCGCATGGAGCAAGGAGAACGTGAGAGGATCTTGAACCAAGATATAGCGTTATTCGAAGGAATTCGTGAGAAGCCGTACCCACAGGGTAGAACGATAGCTCAATTTAGTATGCTAACATAAAAGGTAAAAGCGTCCGTCGTTGGTTTATCCCTGAGAGATGCTCCATGCATTCAACTTCATCAAGTATCGTAGAGGTGATTAAATGTGTACCTGGCATACAGAATGACTTGTCGTCCCTTCATTATGTATCGAGTCAGCTCCGATATCCTCGCAGAGAGCTCTGGTAGCAACACGCCAACCCCCGAGGGATGGAAGGGATGGAAAGAGTGCTGAGAGCAGGTTGGGGAGTCGAACCAAAAGCCATGTGTGCGTTGTAAGCAACCTCTAACCATTGCGCTAGAGTCATTTCATTTCAAAATTCGTTTGGAAATCTTGTCATAGAACAGAATAGGCTACATGGCTTCCAGCTTTAGTGTGTCATTGAGGTTGGTAATCTTCTGTTCAGGCGAGCATTACGAATTCATTCTATAGCCTTTTACTATCCACCCTGATTGTTTACTGATTCAGGCGAAATTCAAACCAAATAATTAACTCAACGTAGTTTTTTTAAATTTTTAGTTAAGCATATTTGGTATTCATTCCATTGCTATTACAATGACAGTTCGAGTTTCCCGCTGAGCGACGGAAGTTTAAGAAAGTGAAGTATACTACAACAGTAACCTGTCCTCACAGACTAGGGGAATCTTGCAGTTTTCATAGAAACCGAAGATCGGGATATGTTTATGAGAAATGTTAAACTGGTAATTAATATAGAGGTCTCAAATTTGATGAATGGATACTAATGGAAGCTCTTCGCCATGTATTTTTCCTTCCAATGCGCCTTTGTAGATATGTTTATCTTTTTCGAAACATTAGATAGCAAACAGATCCATGAATGTGACGTAATAAACAATGGAAGATCAAAAAAAACTTCCGACTTTACAGCGTCATTCATAATTGTTGTTATTTCCAGAGATGTTCTCGACAACAGTCAACCAGTTGAAACAGCGTCCCACCGAAAGAAGCCCACGCGTTCTTCGACTTTCAATCGACTTACTCAGAACTGTTTAAATATTCCCATTACTTTGCATTTAATCTATTTTGGAACTTTCAAAAAAAACTCGCCATGGTGTTAAATATGTGGTAGTAAGGCGTTAAATTCTCATAACTCTTATCTTCCTCCTCTTCCATCATTTGATGTCCAGTCATTTAAGTCGATAAAGAACACCGCGATCGGAAACAGGTAGAAAGTCTCGCAGTAGGTGAGTTAAACACAAAGTGCTAGAAAAATTACCTCTAGAGATTAGTTACCTGTATCCCATTAATGGCTTGACCATCGCGTGGTTGGAGTGGACACTCTCCTTGTTAACGTTCGCCTCTGCCTTGTTATGACTGCTCGGTCGAAGCAGTCTCCTCCTTGACAGAGGTGAATAACATCACATGTTTGATACAGAGCTCTTGATATTTGCTGCTTTTGTAGGAGAGTTAGCTCCTTGGACTTGACTGATTTAACTGTGAGATCCACTTGTCGAAGTAGTTTTCGATCTCCCCATGTGATTCCCAGTCACTTGATTGCATGTTTTCTCTGGTGATTCTCCTCGTTGACTTGTTTCTAGTAATAACACAACTCAAGGTAATAATAACACAACTGAATCCAGTAATCACACAATGAGCACATGCTCAGCTTTGATCCGCTTTTAAGCACCTGTCCGCCACGTGGGAATGGGAGGACATACATACATACATACATGCATACATACATACATTACGTACATTACATACATTACATTACATACATTAACATACATTACATACATTACATACATTAACATACATTACATACATTACATACATTACATACATACACCATTCTAGAGCTCTTCAGACAATATCGAGGAGAACAAACCTGTACGACTTGACGACACAGCAGTTCCTCACGTTTTTAATGCAGTGTGTTGGTTGTTAAATCTTCAGATTGTCATTGAATATGCATACAGAAACGGAAGCAGAAGAAAACAGAAATACACAGAAATATACATAAATATATATACATATACATATACATATACATATACATATACATATACAGGAAAAAAGCTATCAATCAGGCCGCTACTGGCACAAAGTTTTGCATCGTCATAAAACGCTGACTCCATTTCTCCATCTATAACCACCGCTCTGTAGAATCGCGTGTGTGGAGCAGTGGTCGAAGGCGTCCTGCTACACACACGTGGAATCGATTCCAGTGCCCATGGTCCACCAAGCCCTCCATCCCTCCGGGTCGGCAAATTGGTATCACAGCTGTCTGGGAGGAGAGCAGCACTAGCTCAATATAACGGTAGACCAGCGCGGGTCATCGTAAAGGTCAGATATGCATTCAATCACCTCCAAATGATGCTTAATGAAGTTGAATGCATGGTGCATCCCACAGGGTTTGATCAAAAGCGAAAGCTTACCACTTATCCTTTAACCACCGCTCCGTATATCTGCGACTGTTCAATCATGTGTTCAAAACGAAAGCGCTCTGAATTGTTGAGTGGAAAGTACGAATATACAACTATCAATCAAAATCAGCCGAAAGAAAACTCGGTTCCATTTGCAAACGTCCATGTTGAACTTTACAAGAAGTGACAACATTGTAAAGTGGCACCTCAATCGAAGCAATGAAAACACGCGTCCACTATCTCTTCTCATATTTCACACACAAAGAAAACGCTTTTAAAAAACATGTTTAGAACGATTGTCTATGCTTACACAGTAGAAAAGAAAAAGATGAATCACTTAACTTACTGAAGCAACTGACATCTTCCCATGGCTAAAATCTGTTGCAGCATAGGTTAGGGCTAAAGGGAAAGCCGTAATCCACAAAGATTATTCCGATTTCGATAACGCCCGTCTAAATTTGTAGTGAAGTCAGGCGGTACGTAGAAAAGAAAGGATTTGGAGAACTTGGTGACATTTGTTGAAATAACGTCTCAAACCTATAACGGACCCGCGCTGTTCAGCGTGGCTTTCCGAATGGAATATGCGCAATTTTTCGTCGGCTGTAGACTCTCATGTTTTCTGAAAACGAAAAATAATTTTTAAAAAACTAGAAAGCCTTAGGGGTTGCGAATGTGACAGAATTGCAGAAAAGACCCTGATCTATCGTTCTATGGGCATGAACGATACGTATGCTACTAATTACGGTGTGTTATAATAGCTCATTAATATATTGCTGTCAGCACCTAGGAGCTTTTACACCTTATGGAGAGTACTCGTTATCTTGAACAGAGAATAATCTCCAAATTTCTTTGGGTCGCTCGGCTTACACGAGGTTGTTGCAACTTCTATTCGACTAAAGTCTAAACATCTTAGCCTTCTTCACGGCCCTTGTGATCTGAGTTGATGACCAAGATTTCGTAGTTGCCACCATGTGGATGTTCGTTTTCATATCGAGTCGAATCTAGTGGAGGGACCACCGCCCAAATAGGGAACTTCACTAAATGGTGCCCTTTTATAAAGCACAGATGTAGACCGATTGCCGCCTCCAATATGATCTATTTTAAGAGGGCAAAGGGTCTTGTAGCTGTCGGTACCTTATTTGCTGGCACGTAGCGTAGCAATATCTTAAAACCGACTTTCATTAAACCTCGGTAGCAAAAATCAGTAACTTTTTCACACGGGCTTATTTATGTAAAAAGTTATTGGTCAATATTACCAATGATTAATGAAAGTCGGTTCTAAGTTATCTTAGGATCATTGTAGTTGTGTTGTAGAAATAGTTTAGCAATAAGATTGCACGTTTACATGATCTTTTGCGGGTCCTAGTGAAGGCGAATTCCTTAAGAAAGTCGACCATGATGAAGCAGAGATTCTTCTAAGTCAGCATGTAACGGGCACAGTTACCCAAGTAGAACAGCCATTTTAGCGTAAATGGTCGATTCGGTCTACCTGAGCTGACAAAAACGCGGTGCAGGCGTGGCTTCAGGCCACCCGATTATAGAAATAGTAGGTAAAAAATAAAACAGGCAGCGTTGATCAATCCCTAATGGATGCGCCATGCTATCCACTTCATTAAGCACTGTTTAGAAGTGACTGAATGCATATCTGGCCTTAACAATGACTCGCGGTAGGCTCTTGATATATTCAACCAGTGCTGCTATCCACACACATAAGCCTGGTACCAATTTGCTAACTCTTGGAAAATGAAAGGCTTGGTGAGCCTGGGGGCCAGGGATCGATCATATATACATTCAAGGGCACCTCCGACCACTGCGCTACACGCGTCCTAGTGGAAGCTTAAGAAGGAAAATTAACCTGTGATAAAATGCCAAAGAATGGGCTCATACAAAAATTGGGAAGAATTGTTGAACCGTTTGAACAGTCGCTTGAAATCAAGAACAGTTTATTGTATGAAGGAGTCACTGACGAGGGAAAAAACGAAAACTTGAACTAGTGAAGTAGAAAATGATATCTGAAAATAGCATGCAATCGGCAAGTCGAATTCCCAGAAAGAAAGAAGAGCAGCACCCGTCTACAAACGGTGGTGGGAGAATTTTTTACGGGACTGGATTTTGTGGAGAACATAAAATCGGAGAGATAAAATATACAAGCGAAAAGGTTATTTAAAAGGTTCCAATCCGAACCTCGAGAACAAGATATTTGTTGCCCACGAAAAGTGCAACATATTTCGATTTTATCCTAATAAGAGGATTTACGTAGATAAGAAGAAGGTAGGCTGGAACGCTGAACATTTCATAGACCCGGATAAGATGGCAACGTGAAAAGGTAGTTCAAGATGTATTTTACTGTCAATCCCAGTCGAAATTCGCTTTCCTTCGCAGTTCGCTATTCCAGTGTGTCGCTCTATTTGCTATCGAAGACTATTTCATCTCTTACGTCTATATAATTATCACCAACTAATTCATCTACAAAGGCAATTTAAAGTATTAATTTAAAATAATAAGGACAAGCCTTTCGGCGCTGGTTAATCCCCTAATGGCGCGCCATCCACTGGACTTCATCAAGCATCCTTAGAAGTGACTCTATGCATATCTGGCCTATATAGTGTTTTGCGGTGGCCTACTTATGGATCAGGTCGGTGTTGATACCCTCCCAGACGAGTTTGGTACCAATCTGCCGAACCCGGAGAGATGGAAGGCTTGGAGAGCTGGGGCGCGGGATTAAAGCGACAATCACGTGTGTGTTGCAGTGCACCTCTAACCACTGCGCTAAACGCGCCAAAAGAATTAGGAAGATTAACAATTAAAGCTGGGACGATGAACAGCTTTTGGTATTATTAGGTGTAGAATACAGCTTCTCAGTTAGGTGCAGACAGACGGAATTTGGCAGACACCCATATATGAGTCGTACGGTGGCCTGCCGAGAATTATTCGTCCCGTGATTGCCACACAAAAGTAGATGGACCGAAGGTTAACAATCTAGCGATAATGTTTCTTTTTTCTTCACAAACAAGAATTTGATATGCTCCAATAGCATATGAAGGTGTACAGAAGAATGTAGACCATACATAGAATAAGTGGAAAGGTGAAGAAAAACCGAATTATAAAACGTAAACCAAAACAAAAGAGATGGAGCTCATTATTTAGCTTGTTCGCTTGGAGTGGCCAACGTGATGTCCATGTGCTTCACAGTGAGCACAGCGAAGAATTACGCGTCATCGCCAGAGTGTTAACAAGGCGTGTAGTAGTGAAAACTCGCTTATGAGTTACAGCGCTCTAATGCCAAACCTACCGTATTGCATCGAAACCTAGGCGCTTGGTTTTAAATTGTCCTTAGGGTATTTTGAATATTTGGGTTTGAAGTATTGGGAGGAAATAGGTATATTCCTGGTTAGATATTACATGGTTCTTTTCCTCGTTAGAATTTTTTTACATGTACATATACATGCGTCGAATTCGCATTAATGCATATTTCATGTTCTTTACTCATCTTCAGGGATATTTCCGTATGGTTCCATCAATGGGCGTACTATCTTGAGATCCTGAAATTCTCAGAATGAGGACTAGCGTTAGTGAGTTGCGAAGATCGCTTGAAGGCAAGCCGTACCTCATATCTTCATTTCGCTACAAGAATCTTGTCATATTCTGCGATGGCTCTCTTATATTCGTTTATGGTTTCGTTAACAATAATGGTGTAGCCGAATACACGAAATCAGTAGTAAGTTCTTAGTCGAATGTTGTATGCTTCGGAGCTTTAGTAAGATTTAAGGCACGTTGACAGATCCCAACGTTATTAGAGTACTGCTCGATTTCAAACATAATTTGCTATCAAGCACTACAGAAAGTCATCCTTTCGCCACCCATTCCGACTGATGTCAGGATATCCTTCATGTCTGCTATTCATGATGGGTCCTTAGTTGTCTTCTCCAGTGTGAATTCTCTTTTTATCGTGCGTGTTTCTGCAGATTTGTGGGCCTCTAAGGCTGACGGTCATGTTCCGCTCGGGCAGTACTTTTGTGGGTGAGTTCGTTTACGTTCACATTTCGCTTACTTTACCGATTGATGTACAGCTTTTTCAGTGTTGAAGAAGTCCATCCAACTCTTTTTGAATCTTCACGAGCACCGAAATTGTTACGAATACGGTGGCTGCATTCTAACTCAGTGGATTCCTCTGCACAATTGCTTGCTGTCCTCTTCGACGATAGTCGTATTAGGTTCACACATGATATTATATTAAGCATTAAGGTGTATTTCTTATTTACTTACTTGGATACTTGGATAGTCCGTCTTCACTGATTGAGCAGGCCCCTGCATAACTCCCATTGTTCTAGAGTTTTCCTGGTTTAGCCATTGTGGTTCCCTGGAGTCCCGAGGTCAACCTGACCAAAGCCTGCCCCAGGTCGTCACCACAACAGGTAGTCGCCACCCTTGTGGATCACAGGGAGATTTGCCACCATGCGACTAGTTTGATACCAGGGCGGTGGTGGATCCTAGTATTGGTTTACTCTTAGCTGAGCTTCCTGATGGAAACGCCGGGCTCCTTCTCAGCTTGACAGACTTTTCTGGGGTGATGAATTCACCTGTTGTACATCGCAGCCTGATATGCAAGAACAATTTCCAGCCGCGATGAGGCAATAGACCGTTGGGAGGGGAAATCTTGATAAAATCGCAAAAGATTTCTGATTTTTAGAATCTATCAAGCCGATAACGTATGCGATGTGCCATGTATGGTAATCGACTACAGTTCATTCATGTGCACAGCTGATCGTCCTTATGAAGCATACGGATCTAACAGCTATGGTTTTCACAAGTGTATAAGTAAGTTAATTTCAGTAGTGCTTTTGACAGGTATTGGCCGTTTACACAACGTTCACCTACCTTTCATGTCCTTTTTTCGTTCTTCCCGTGAGGAAAAGTTTTCAGCATCGTTTGATTGTATTATTTTACGTGATGAAAGTCCAACAATAGTTGCAGTCGATTCAGAGGGTGAGATGTATTCAACAACTGTGAGCATCAACAGTAAGCGGTTTTGTGTACCTCTATAATCTCGCTTAAATTTGCAAAATTTGCTTAAAGTTCTTGATTAGGTAACAACACTTCGCCATGGACGCGTCCACTGATCCCTCCATCAAGTTTACCGTGCGATCCTATTGACATTCGAATCGTGGATCATCCAATGAACGACGTTAGGTTTTTCAACTGCTATCTGTTCCTATAGCGCGTGTAGCGTAGTGGTCGAAGGCACCCTGCAATACGCGTAGAATCGTTCCCTGCGCCTCAAGTCGACCAAGCTCTCCATCCCTCCGGGGTCGGAAAACTGCTACCAGATTTATCTGGGAGGATAGCAGCATTTGCTCGATACAACGGTAGGCCACTGCGAGTCATTGTGAAGGCCAGATATGCATTCATCCACCTCCAGAGTGGCTTAGTGAAGTCTAACGTATGATGCATTCCCCAGGGATAGTTCAACTCTTCAGCTCCGAGAGTTTTATCCTTTATTCTTTGTGTTCCTGTCCTCCCACATAATCTGATGTTTTACAGCTATTCTCTGTTTTCGCCGTGCTATCAGCAGAAAGTGTCATTAGCTTTGTGGTGGCAGTTCCCGATGAGCAGTCAAGTCATAGGTGTGTACTGCTTTATTTTTTTATTTCTATCTTTTATTTCGAGTTTTGTACTTAAGCTTGTTTCTTCACGAACAACTGCAACTATCCAACAGTAACACTTGGAGTTTGTGTTCTTCTGACTTTGAATTTACTCTTCTTGTTGCAAACGATACAACTGTACTCCACATAGACCTGTCACCTTGGCTTTATAAGTATTTCTCGGTGCTCAATCAGCAAAGGTAAGGAATTCTTGTACTTTCGTTTGTACCCTCGGCGAATTTAAATTGTTCTAACGATAGTACATCAGTCGGTTTTTAGTTCCGACATGGGCAGCTTTTCAATTTCCGAGGATTCCGTAGTCCGTGAACTAATCTCACTGTCGGATTACGGAGCTTCTAGCTTTTCTACTCCTTGTTCCCTTTCTCAGGATCGAGTATTAGCGTTGATATGCAAGTCAACAAATCGTCGAGAAACAACAACAATGTTCATCATCTGTAGTCCAAGTCCTCCTTTACTGACTACTTTTCTGAAGTGGGAATTTTCTTTTGGATATTTCTATTTGTATCTTTTTTCTGTGTAGACTTATACACTTATAGACTGCAAGTACATGATTCTCAATTGACTTCCTATGGCGCATCAGAGATTACGGAAGGTATTGGGCTACCGTTGAATGAGAAGGTCTTAGATACTATACTGTCTAATAAAAAGAATCTGTTGCCTATCAAGTAAGAAACTGTTTTCCGTTTGATAATAATTGCCAATGGTTACATGAAAATTCAAGTATTGCTTAAAAAGACTTAAAAGGATTAAGTTGTCGGCATTGATCAATCGCCGAGGGACGCATCATGCATTCAACTTCATTAAGCATCGTTGAAGGTGATAAAATGCATATTTGGCCGTAACATTGGCTGGCGATGGCCTAACAATGTATCGAGCCAGCATTGCTGTCTTCCCAGACAAGTCTGGTACCAATTTTCCGTCCCCTGAGCAATGGAGGAACTTAATGGGCCTGGGCGCGGGGATCGATCCCATGTGTATTGCAGGGCGCCTCTGACCACTGCGCTACATGCGCCCCTCTCACATTGCTTGTGGTAGGTTTTCAATATTTGCCATGTTTAAGTACTTAGCACATTGGTGACGACGTCTAAATTTCTCGTCACATGACCTGCAAATTTAAATCAACTTATTCGAACCACACCGACCTCTGTTTCTTCCTCTCTCTCTCTCTCATCTACAGAAAGTCAGCATACTATTTTCTTTCTGAATACTACTTTCCGCTCTATGGTCAGATTGCTCCATGTATTTCCTCACTTCTTTCTCTTCCTTTTTTTTATTCTGTATATTCTCAGTGCTGTTCAATGTATGCTTACTTTTTTTCTAAAGTGCCAAACTTTTACATCTGTTTGGAGAGGTGTCGTCCACTGTCGAGTCAGGATGCCAGCGTTTACTAATCGCTTTCACAACATGTTTAGTACACTTCAAAGTCTTTCTATCATTTCTTCTTTTCATTCATATTTTTGTAAAAGGAGTTGAGAGCTGCTGTTGTTGAGTTGATACGAGATTGATATAGTTGTGATTGTTGTTGAGACTCAGTCGCAACAGCACGGCTGTGAAGAACGCCGTGGCGTCAGCCATCGATCAACATCAACAGCGACAACATAAACTTATACCAATCTCGCATCGGCTCAACAAGCTTAGTTCACAGGAACATATAAATGAATATATTTGGTTGTTTGTGCAGAGGTTAAGGGAGCGGATAGCACAGTAGTAATGTCCGTTATCACGAGCATGGTGCTACTTCGATTTCGCTCCTGGCTAGTCAAGTCTCTCATCACTCCGGGGTCGGGGAATTAGTACAGGACTTGTCTGGGAAAAAATCACTCTCTGCAGTCCAATTGGGAGCGCTCCGGCCCGGCTATCTCAGAACTCCAGGGAGAATTGCTCGACCAGCATTCTACGACATTCAAAATGAAATCAAAATCCTGAAGCCGCAGCCGAAGCCACACGTAAAAGTTGGAAGATCTTCGTCGACAATGATTGCGAGAAAAAGAATCGATTGTGAGAATTGCTGTGGTCTGCAAAGTAGACGTGGAGACGGATTAAATAAAATTTTAAAAAATTGTGCTGAGGTTTATAGGAAATTCCTTCGAGTTACTAACGACTTGAGAATGTATGATGTTCCTAGAAATACAATGTGTTTAAGCGCACAGATAAACATACAACTTGCCTCTGTTGAGATATCTTAATATTTCCTTCATCTCTTCGATATGAGATATCGTTATGCCCTTCTCGCTAGCAACAGTCGATGTCGATGCAGTTGCTGATGTATTTTTAAGTGTGGTAAATGCATTTCCTTGTCTTTCACGTGATTATTATTACATCTATTGAGGTAATTTGTCGACTGAATACAAAAGTTTGGCAAAAATACCCAGTGCCTCAGATTAATGCTACTGAAGGAAAATGAGCAGAAGTCAACAGACACCGCCAGTGTGCTTCAGGATGATTGAGTTGAAATCTATCTTCGCCGATAGAAAGAATAAAGAATAAAGCTCCCGGCGTTGATCAATCCCTGAGGAGTGCACCATTCATTCGACTTCACTAAGCATCGTTTGAAGGTGAATGAGGGCATATTTGGCCTTCACAATGACTAGCGGTGGCCTACCGAAATATCAAACCAGTGCTGCTATACTCCCAGGCAAGTCTGCTACCATTTTGCCGACCACGAAGGGATGAAGAGCTTGATGGGCCAGGAGCGCGGGGATCGATCCCGCGTGTATTGCAGGACGCCTCCTATCATTGCGCTACGCGCGACCATGGATGTATTAACTTTTATTAACTTGCGTCATAATAAACGCTGGTTAAAGCCGCCTTGTTGTAGTTAAGTACGAGTTCGAACAATATGAAGTGATTGAATGTTTCAAATTACTTCGAATTTCTACTGATTTGTTAAGCCTGGTAATCGTATTTGCAGAGTGGCCTCATCTCAACACGAGCTTTTGAAGAATCTATTCGACTTCTTCGACACGGCTAACAGAAACCAAGTTGTTATTAGAGCCGCTCTCGAAATGAGCCGTGATAGGTTCCTCTTCCTTTTACAGTATATAGGAAACTTTTTAGAGATATATTGCTTTGAAACGATTTTAATTACGGCGAGTTTCTAGTTGTGTTGGTTTTAGATGTGACAGTTCTCATTTAGCGCTGTGCTTTAGAAATGGTATAGCTAACTGAACGACTTTTTCAGTTAGGTATTTGTTTGGTATTGTTTCTGGTAATGGTTGCTGAGGTACATAGTGTACTGATCACACCATATGTGGTTCTCACTTTTTCCATTCGTTTCGTTGCCTCGTAACCGTCATCCATGTGCAATACACAGACTACCTCATGTTCTGGGTTTGACTGGTGCTGGAAGTTTCGTCATCTTTTGCCCTGTTGTTGAGTGGTGGTTGAGATAAGTTTCTTAAAAAATGAAGAGAGCTATGTAGAGGGTTTTCACCTCGAAGTATTGACGGAGTTTGTTGATTGGAGGTTATAATAACCTGAAATCCGCTAAACCAGAACTTTCGTCCGTAATACAACACTTCTGTTTTACTTTCAAACGTCGTTGTGGACGTTGAAAATTCAGATGGTGTGGATTATTCGACAATTCCTTCCACTTTGACATCAGGATAGGTCGGTGCAAGAAGTTATGAGGAAGACTGACTACTGTTGTCCTAGCCTATTAGCTTCTATTTTCTCATAGTTGTCGAAATGCATTGGCTGTTAAGGCCATGTCCCCATTTTTTTCCTCTTGGTTAAAACTTGAAGTATTGTGTCTTTGATCAAATTGTTGCGCGGAATTATATCTTGTGACAAAACTGTTCTTTTATTTCTTTTTTTTTTTGCAACTCTTCTAAAGTTTCGGGCTAACCGGTTTTAGGCTTACTGCGCTCATCAAGTTTGCAAATGAACTGGCTGATAAGCAGAACGTTATAAATCATCGACTGTTACAGGTCAGAATCGGCTGAGGTTTTTATGCTGTTTTATTTTCGTATAATAGAATTTTTTCATTGTCAGTGAGCAGTTATGTGTTACACCTAAAACTGTATTCACTTACTATATCCAAGTTTACTGGATACTTACTTAATACTGGACTCTCTTAGGTACAGTAGAAGTGTCACCTGATTGTATTTAGATTGGATAAAAATTGGTAAAAACTTTAATTGGGTCTTGAAATTGTAGGCGCTTATTTGTTATCTTTTCTTCACTTTCCTTCTTTTCTCTTTATTCTCGCACTTCCTAAAACTACTGGGATTTTTGTCACTTTCGAATTTTTAATGTCTTTTTTACCAAGTTAAATTATAACTGTTTTTTGGTTTTTGTAAAGTTCTATGAGATGAAAATAGGTGTGGATACTGATAACTGGCCTTATTTAAGTACTTCACTTAAGGTTTTCCGTCATACGGTTGCAGTCAAGGAGAAAATGGAGACGATTCGTCCCAGTGTGCTCAAGACTTTTGTTCGCATTGACAAGGTAGATAAGTAGCTGACTGATCGTGCTTTATCCTCACTACTTACATCTGTCCATGCTGCCCATAACTGCAGATTTCCACTCAATTGACTGACAGTCAAGAACTCACAGCTGATGAAACGAAACTGTTGGACGTCCTTAAGGAATATCGAAGCAAGATGTTCACCAATGCTATGAAAACGTCGAAGGTTTATTGGACAATTTTGCATTTCTTAATATATTGCCGTATACTTCGCAAAGAACCACTATTTTGAGTAGGAATCTAATTGCGCCAATTATTCTTGAACAATTTGTGCTGAAAACTTAGCAAATGGTTTCTTTAGATTTGTCTAAGTATTCTTTCTCTTTCGATTTTATTAATATCTTTTAGCTTTCGCTAGAGGCAGCTCAATTGCAACGAGAAATAAGAGGTCCTGCAAGGGCATTCACTGCATCGCCTGGAGCGAAACTGTTTGTCCTACAAAACAGGTAGCTTTAAAATGTAGCGGTTCTTAAAGTGCACATCCACATTAGCTTTTTCATATGGCAAAATTGGGAAGTGATATTTCAGCGAGGAAGAGCTTTCTACTTTAAAACGTCGTTTGGATAACATCAGTGCGAAGTTAGAACAGTACGGTTTGCGTAGAACTGTAGAAAATAAGGAAAATCTGCAGAGTTAGTGTCGATAGTATCAGATATGAGAACGATGTTTGATGTTGTTATCTGCGAGTTTATTTTGATAAAACTTCATCCTAGCTCTTTCGTTATTGTACCGCGCATGTAATGCTATCATGTATAATACTATCGTCTGTTGTTTACTAGAACATCATGCCAATTAATTTCTGAGGGTAGTTTTCCTTTAACGTAGGATTTTTTCGGGATGTTACTGTGTTTTTGATGACTTGACTTGAGATTGTTAACAGGAAATTTATTTCATGATGTATGATGTCGCAGCGGAATTCGTGTTGTGTTCAACTTCATATTTGTATATGTATATATATACATATATTTATATCTAAACATAAATATAAATATATAACAACCCCAAGTCAGGTCATCAAGAATTGTCCCTATATCCTCCCAACGGTTTACCGCCTCATCGTGGCTGGGAGGTGTTCCTAGGTGTCGGACTGCGGTGTACAGCGGTTGGATTCGTCCCCCGGCAGGGTCTCCCAAGCTGAGATTCGCATGGTAGCAAATTTCCCTGTGATCCACAAGGACCGCGATGGCTTGTGGTGGTGAAGACCTGGGGCAAACTTTGGCCAGGTTGACCTCGGGATTCCAAGGAACCGCAATGGCTTAACCAGCAAATCTCCGAAAAATGGTGATTATGCTGAGGCCCGCACAAGCAGTGAGGACAGGCCGTTCAAATATCAAATAAGCAATATATATATGTATATATATATATATAATGTTCTTGTGAACTACACTTATTCAGCGGACGCGAAGTTGGTATAGATCTTCTTATTGTTGTTGTTGTCATTGTTTAATGGCTGACGTTTCGGCGACTTCGCTTTCCTCAAAGCTTGGAAGTACTACATGTAATAGGAGCCCGACAATTCGGTGAACTCCATGATATTGATGAAGATCCAGCGTATGAATAGGCACCAATTTTGAAAAATTATGCACCATGATGTTGGAGCACCCATGTGTTGTTCATGAGGGAACTTAAGTGACCGTTAACGTTAACGTGGGTAATTAACGTTTTTGTTTTACTTTGTATTTACCACCTATTATTTCTTCATACTAGGGTATTATCTGAAATGCAACCACAATGATGCTGTAGTATTTGCAAAACTCGGAACCTCAAGTCAGCTTCGAACCCACGGTTACTCTTTCTAGAGGTTCACGCGTGACTCCACTGCACCACCGAGGTCTGTGCTTTGCATTTCTATAAGTCAGTTTTTTAACCTAGCGGTGCTATCAGCTATCACTGGCCAATGGGAGTGGTCTAAGAAACATAGATCGGCATTGAACGTGGTGAAGCCGGAGCTTAATTCGAAATCAAAATGTTCGATTTTCCATTCACTGCGTATTTTTCCATAGTATGGTATCATGTGAAAAAACCACAGTGGCCTTCGGAACAGGCAATCGTGGGTTCAAAACTGGCCTGGAGTTCCGAGTTTTGCACAAATCTCTGCATAATTGTGGTTGGATTTCGCGTACTTGAAGAGTCCAAGAAGGGTCATATTAACATTCGTTTTGCTTGGTTATTAAGTGCTTTGATAGCTCCAATGAAAATATTCAGAAAGTTGGTTTCATCGAGCGATAAAGACCATCTTTGGTGGGAAATTTGAAAGTCGAGAATTACGCCGGGACGACAGTTGATATGACTAATATGGGCTATGTTTACAGGGTTTTCTACTTGATTCCTCCATTGAGAGCATGGCGATTCAGGCTAATAACACGTTAATTTATTGGTAAGTGTCGAATTTAGTAGAAAATCGGTCCTGGGAATACACGGTGCATATGACAAGTGTGTGGGCGGGCTGTTTGTGTTTAGTTTTTTTTCTCACATGTCTCCATGACTCTTCATCACAAGTCTGAGGATCCCAGCACTTGTTGCATTCGATTCGTTTTCCTCGCATTTGTCCTCCACAAAGGTCTTCGAATACTTCGCTTGTTATTTCGGCTGTTGCCTGACGATTTGAGGATCTCATCTTTTCCATGAATATAACAGAATGTTGGTCGATCGATTCTCCTTGTAATCTATGAGATAAACTAAGGCGTTCCCACATGATTGGTGGAAAGCGTTGGGAAACGGGTCAAACGCCACAACCTTGCTTCCTGATGAATTGCATCACTAACATCTCTCTACTTATCATTGTTTCCCAGGGAAAGTATGTTTTAAGTACAATTTATAATGCTTTATAATACTAAGAAGGCATTTACAAGGTCCTGTCACCTGTATCACCCGCAGTCCCGTTGGTCGTCGAGTGACTCGAGCGAGCGCCAGTAAATCTTCCATTTTTCCCTGTCGCGTGCAAGAGTAGCCCAGTGGGTTCTGCTCGCTCTAGGGACTCGTCGAGCATCATATCTTTCTTCAAGGCTCTTTGTGAAGAACTCTGACTACCGGGTCGGTGGTCTTCCTGCAGTACATTTGATATCCCGAGGAATCCAGTCACTAACGACTCTTGCCCATCAGTTGTCGTTCATACGCATTACGTGTCCGGCCCACCTTATCTTCGACTGTTTGGCGTACAGAACAGCATCTTTGATTTTTGATCGTTGACGCAGATCGGAGCTTCGGATCCTATCCCTTACTTGTTTGAAACCGAATACTCTGTAGCGTCGTCCTTTCGACTGAGCGTTCGATAACGCTGAGTGATCTGTCATCCTGCTTACGCAGTGAGCAAGTTTCTGACGCATATGTTAGGGCAGAAAGTCCGTTCAGTCGAAAAGGTGGGCACGGAGTCGGGTGTTCTTCGTTCTGTTCACTACATCCTCGATGCTCTTGAAAGCTCCCCAAGCCGCTCGTTTTCTTCTGCTTAGCTCAGGAGCTAAGTCGTTCATCATATTGATTTCCCGACCTAGATAGACATAACTGGAGCATTCGGAGATATTCATTCCGTTGAGCGTGAATGGGGCATGCGAAACCAATCCGTTCTTCATGAACATCGTTTTTGTGAGATTTAGTCGAAGACCTATCTTTCCACAGGCTCTATCAAAGTCGGCAAGCATACGTTCCGCTTGGATAATGTTTGGTGTTACAAGGATGATGTCATCAGCAAAGCGAAGGTGATGTAGTTGCCGACCATCGATTTTCACTCTCATATTATCTCATTCCAGTGCTCTCGTGACGTTCAAGAGGGTGGCGGTAAATAATTTTGGCGAGATGATATCGCCTTGCCTAACTCCTCTTTTGACGTCAATGTTTATATCGTTGTAGAATGGTGATATCTTGGTTATGAAATTTTTGTACAGCTCACGAAGAATCTTTATGTAACGAGCAGGGACTCCTTGACTCTCAAGGGCTTCCAAGACTGCTACTATCTCAACTGAAGGCCTTCTGTAAATCGATAAAAGTGAGAAAGGGCGGTCTTTTGTACTCTTGGATACTTCAATGAGCCGTGTTGCGTATGGATGTGGTCCATCGTGCTAAATCCTTTTCGAAACCCTACCTGATCACATGGCTGCCCTTCGTCTAGTGTTCTGTCAATCCTGTTTAGGATGACTCGAGTGAAAAGTTTGTAGACGACGGACAGTAAGCAGATTGGGCCGTAGTTGCCGATATCGTGCAGGTCACCCTTCTTGAACAATAACCTGGTCCTGGTGGTCTTCCACTGAGTAGGGACCTTGCATTCGAACAGGTAACGTGTGAAGAGCCGAGCCAGTGTGTTTACGAGGACTGGCGGAAGGTTCTTCAGGTGTTTTGGTCTTATCCTGTCCGGACCTGGCGTTGTTCGATTTTTCACCGACGAAATGGCATGTCGGATTTCGGAAGGGAGAACCGGTGCTACAACTTATCTATCCTCCTTTATTTCATATAACAGAAGGTGGACGTGGCTATTGAAGAGATCCGAGTGGTATTCGTGAATGATTTTCTCCATTGCCTTTCTCGACGCTGTAACTGTTCCGTCTGGGGAGTGCAATCATCTTGGTCTTGTAATTGGCGAAGCTTCGGTGGGCTTTGCGAATGCTTTTCCCAGCCTCTGCAGCTTCGACCTTTACTGCTGCTCTTCTCTCTTTAAGATCTTCTATCGCCTGTCTGCATTTTTTTTGCAAATTCGGACGTTAGTTCTCGGTTGCCTGCACCTCGTGCGATTCTACGCTGGCGTATCGGCTCGAGTGTTTCTGAGGACAGACGTCTCTCGGTGACTCGAACTCTCAGCTTTCATAGCGCTAACGTTACGATGTTGAATAAACCGATCACATCCTTCGTCGATGTTATCTACAACGGCATCTTCAACAGCCGACTAATGAATTGAATAAGTCCCAGTTTGCGGTGGTTCTGGGATTTCGGTATTGGAATTTAGCGGCTTTTTCTCCTTTCCGCGAGAAATAGAATCTTGCACGAAGGAGACGATGGTCTGATCCCTTGTAGAATTTTGGGTCATCAGCGACATCGGTTAGGCAAAACCTTCTACTTACTATGATGTGGTCTATTTCGTTGTGGTACTTTCCATTAGGAGACTCCCACGTCCAGCGCCGAGGGTGAAGCTTCTGGAGTTGCGAGTCAGCATTGATTGTTTTGGTCGCCATGATAAACTCATATAGCCGCTCACCCTGTTCGTTCCATTCTAATTCGTGGGTCACAATGTGACGTTCTTCAGACGTTCTTCAGACGTTCTTCTTAGTCCAATCTTGGCGTTGAAATCTTCAATGAGGACCTTGAAGAATGTGTGATCTTCTTTGTAGAACTTCCCCAAGTCCATATAGAACGCTTCGACTTCTTCTTCGCCATAGTTTGACGTTAGCGCGTAAACGACGAAGATTGTCAAAGCCGGAATTGATCCACGTCTTTTTAATCGTAAACGTCCGATTCGGGTTGTAAATTGTTCGAATGAATCGATGTTCATGGACAAACTCGTGTTGACGAGAACACCGACGCCGCCGACTCCTCTACTGTCGCATGTTCCGAGGAACAGTTCTTCTCCGGTGTCATTGACGGCGTTGAAAGGCTGACGTCTTCTCGTCTCGGTCAGGCCAATGACGTCGAACTTTATCGTTCTTGCTTGCA